TTTTTTTTTTTTTTTTTTTTTTTTAAATCTTCTCTGTCAAAAGAAAGCGCACTACTCTGCTCGGGCACTGTTTTTTCTACGTAACCGTACACGACAAATTGGCAATTTTATGTTTCACTCTTGCTTTTTTCCAAGTTGCTCTATGTAACCATGTGGAAATATGGCAACTATATTTTTTTTACGTTGCCTGTTATGTTAATCTGTGTTTTTTTAAAAACATTATGGTCAGTTCTGTAGCAGTTTCTGACTTCCCTTTCGCTTCAATTTTTATTTAAATTAAGTCCAACGCGATTTCCGCTTTTCCGCTGCTGACTTGAATTTTTTTTTTTTTTTTTTGCGCTCAAACTTTCTTCAAACCCGAAGGGTACCTAAGGACAGCGCAACTGACATGCGTTCGACATACATTAGGTCAAAAGCCGCGTTCTGCGCCTGCGTAAAGCAGTTACCAAATGTACATTTTTCCTACATTGTACTCATACACCTGTATACATGTATACAGGCATAGGTATCATATGCGTCTACTTGCACAAATGTAAAACGCACAATAGTACAAAAAAAAAAAAAAAAAAAAAAAAAGAAGAAAATGGATAGGCCAACAACTATCCAGAAATAGTTCAAATCACGTGAGCGAATTTTTCCTTATCATTCTGTTCCCCCCCTGGAACAAACATTCGGGCAAAGGGATTAATCCCTGTGTACCTCATTGGTGAACATATAAAATGATGAATGTACCGGAAATGGGTAAAACAAAAGCGCAGAAATGTCTTTCTATTGGGGCATTTATGTTTTATGTGACATTGTATATGAGTCATGGTAGGGTGCAGAGGGGGCCCTTTTTTTTTTCGTGCACTACATGACCTACATTGCCGCGACGCTTAAGCTCCTAGACGGATACGTCGCCGCTTAGTTTTGGACTCCGTTCCTGCTACTTTACCATCGATCACCCAGGGAAGAGTCAAATTGGGAAACAAAAAAAAAAAACATTGGAATACAATCGAGACCGCCAACAAAGTTTCCACGGTACAACACTGCGTGTGAACATAATAGAAAAAAAAGAGCTTGAAATATGTCAGGAGGGCTATTTTTCGCATCCGCCGTTTAGCTGCAAACGTAAGAGCCAAAGAGATGCCTCACTTCGTTTCGCTTCGCCCAACAGGGAGCGCTATGTTTACTCCACGTGGCAACTTTAGCCAGTGGGGGAAAAAAAAAGACAATCGTCTCCATTTAAGTTATGCTGTACGCATTTGCAAAAAAATATACATGCAAATTAAACACATAGCCAGATTTACACAAGCACGTAACCACACACACACGTTTGCCTGCACGACGCGCACGCTGCACTGAGTCAAATGAAACAAAAAAAGGGAAAAAACGTGGGCAACTGGGCCAGACAATATATGCAGGTGCGCGGCATGGATAAACAGCGGAGTGCATCTCAAATACGAACAGATTTCTAATTATGTGGAAGGGGCCTCCGTCCACAAATCTCTACAATATATTTTAAGCTCAAGTCGGTGTGGTAATCTAATTCGAAATGGCAACACTGCATTGGTGGGGTGCGTGCAGCGCGCCTCCAAACAAAAAACAAAAAAAAAAAAAAAAAAGGGGGGGGGAGGGGTAAGAGACAGCGCGAACGAACGATTTATAAAACGGGAAAGAAAACGAGGATCTTTTTTTTTACCCAACCCGTTTGTTCAGGCCACGACTGTCATCACCCCGTATGCTACGTCCCAACAGTATTGTACCGTTTGTGAAGCGCTGTTTATGGAAACCCCACTTACAAGCCATAAATGTTACGTACCCCCCTATTTTGCCTTCCCCCGTGTATCATCAATGCGGGGACCTCGCGAAGGTGCTCAATTTATGCGCGCAGTTTTCTCGTCACCAAAAGGGGAGCTAAAATTGAGTTAATTTTTATCCCATGTGTGCTGTTCCTCAACGCAGATAACTGTGTGTGCATCCTCTATTTTATGGTTTTTTTCCCGTTTGGGTGTTTTTCCCTTTGGTGATATGGCTTCCCTAGCGCTATCGCACCATCCTACTTATCCGGGGACAACTCCTCGTACTTGCCCCCAACGAAAACCTTGGGCAGCAGAAACTCCTTGTCGAAACTGTTCTGTACAATTTTAGATTTATCGGTTGACCTCTCCTGTTTAGATGCCTCTTCCTTCTGCTGCATGATGGTCTGTTGTTCGAGTGTCTTCTCATCACCGCATCCCCAAGCTTCCACCTCATGGATGGACAGTTTGTAAAGGAATCGGTCAGCATTATCATCGTCGTCATCATCCTCGTCTTCATATGCCGAACGTGTGTGATTGACGTTTCGAGAATTGATACTACTAGAGTAGGAGGTAGCGTTGTTATTACTACTCTGCTTGTTATTACCCTTTCGGCCGGCACGCCTATCCTTCTGGTAATGGGGGAAGTACAGGTGGCCACTTTTATATGTGTAATCTGACTGAGTACAGTAGGAGTCCTTAAATTCGTCACTCAGAAATAATCGGAAGCACTCAGTTCTTCCTCCAAATCCTAGGCCCTTTGGATAAAAAGAGTTCTTACTATTCAAGTAGACGTAATTTGTGCCAAACTGATTTGATCTTATAACTCTAAAAACGGGATGAGCTGAAAATAAAAAATCATTGCATGAACCCTGGAAGAGGTGAGAATCCTTCAAGGGGGTAGTGCAGACGGCACCCAAAATTTGATTATCCTTTGTCCTGATTACAATAACAATTGGGGACTCATAATAGAAAAGGGAGCTAATAAATCGATTGAAACTTGTGCCTTGTTTCCATGAGGCATAGAGCCTAAACCATAAGTTGTTAATGAAACATGGAGAGCACTGTCGCAACGTGAAAACAATTTCGTCTGTTAATATTTTACTTGTTTTGTTTAAAAATAATCCTCTCCAATCATTTGTTGCTTTTTGTATTTCCACTATGGATGATGACTTTCCGTACTTGTCTTCAAGCAGCTTGTTCCTTTCTTCATCTTGTTCATTTATTTCTTGTTTTTTTTTTATTTCCCTCTTTTTCATGTTCGTATATATAGTGTGTATGAGTTCTATGCTGTTAATACACATGTCGTTTAAATTTTCGAATTCGTCTTCTCTCTTATCATCATTTGTCCCGTTTTCTCCGTTTATGCCATCCCCCTTCTTCCCTTCTGACTCGCCTGACAAGACATTTTCACTGTCCATGAAATGCTTAAACGTTGCGTTGGCATAATTTTCACTCAACACTGTGAAGGTCGAGCTGATGTATTCAATGGCTAGAGAATATATGGAGTGTTTGTTATTATCTATAGAGTTTACAAAAAGCCTAAATCCAGTGATAATATTTCGAAAATCTAAATTTGCCTCAAGGGAATAAAACATTTCGTTAAAGAAATAGGCCACGTCCCAACTGTTTTTTCTCTTCAGGGCTCCTATATCATCATAAGCACTGGTTGCTGAATGCCTTAGAAAATTGTTTTCATTTTCAGGCACGGGGTTCCTATTTGTTAGCTTAAAAAGGGCACTATTTGAGCATAGTATGTAGAGTTGCTCAATATAAATGTAGGTAAACAGGTGGTACATGGCTTCCTCCACAGATATTAAATCCTTCATGATGTAGTTTCTTGGGTACTGATTTTTTAGTTTATGTTTGTCCAGAAAAAATATATTATCTTTGATAAATTTGTAATTTCTTTCTTTCTTTTTATTTTTATTTATTATGTTTACATTTGAGTCTGAGAAGAAAAACTCAAAGGAGTTGCGGTCTTGTCGAACAGAATCTCCATCCCCCGGGGTGTCCTCATCATCGGTATCCACGTCGGGATCTTTTTCCTCATTTGGACGATTATTGCCCATGTAGGCAGCACTCCCTTCTCCCTGGGGATCTCCCTCCTCATCATGGTCTACCCCCTCGTCCTCATGAGTCACATCCTCATTTGTACAAATTCCTTCACTAGGTTCTTCCCCCCTGCTGCTTTTAAACGCGCAAGAGTGTGTGTCCCCTTTGGGTTCACTTTTATTGTCATCCTCCTTCAGGGAGACCATCTCCATGCTGTTATCATTATATCCCTCTTCGTTCTCTTCCACGTTTTTCAATTTGCTGGACTGGATATTGCAATTGATATTCCGGTTCTTGCACTTGGATATGGTGTACTTTAAAAAGGTCCTGAATAATATCCTCACAAGAATTCTACCTTTGACGGTACGAATATAGGACAGTATATTTATAATATCCTGCAGGGATATTTCATTCTTTACTTTTTTACTGTTCTTGTTGAAAAGGATATTTAGGGCATAATTCAATCCATAATTATTCATTGCGTTTTCACTTGTCCTGTTTGTTTTTCTCAACACTTCATGGAAGGAGGGAAGTACAAGGGCAATGTAGGGTCTTAAGATGTGAGGATACACGTATATAAAATCTAAGGTTCTGACCCGCTCATTTATTTCCTTTTTGTTTAGGTTAAATTTTTTTCGTATTTTTTCTACATCCTCTTCGCTCAGGCAACCGTAGTTGAGGGTATGCTTTGAGTGTCCCTCCCCCATGTTTACAAGCGCATGGGGGGGGAAAAAAAAAAGGGTTCAGCGACAGTTAGCGAGGACGTCGACAAACAGGCCTACTACAGGGGACCATTAGAAGGAAGCTCCTTCATGTACAGATTAAGAATTTCACTTGAAAAGGCTGCTTAAAAGGCTACTTAAATAGCCGCTTTAAAATGCTCCTTCAGAACAGCGACAAAACACGCAACAAATTTGACCCTACAGGTGCGAACTCGAAATGCATGTTCACGCACGTGCGTAGTCTGTGTCGTGATGTCATCCGGTAATTCCTTGGGAAATCAATTGATCGTGTGAGAAAATTTAAAAAAAATTCCTGTCGCGCAATCCACAAATTCGTGACATTTTTTCTTCACCCCGTTGTTGTAGGCTTTGCCAAATGCGCACGTTCACGTGTATAGCACGTAAAAATGAATATGCAACAAAAAATTGGGCGCATGTATTTTACCCCCGCGGCGAGAATCAGCCTGTTCCGTTTTATGCGACATCAATTTTTTTTTTTTTTCTCCTGCTTCCAGCACGTTGGTTCTGCTCCGTATGCATATATGCGTATGCAGCGTGCACGCGAAGGTGCTATAAAAGCGCACGTGCGTGAATATATATATATATAACTATGTTTATGCATACATTTGTTTATTTGCATTATATGTACGCGGCCAGCACCTTCCCCAGTGAGTGGTCTCTGGTTGTTTTGCAAAATTCCCTTTGTTTTTGTTCCCCACCCCCCCGCGCGGTGGAACGCACAAGTGCGAAAATTCCCTTTCCTCTTTACCTCCAAATGGTTTTCCCCAGGCACGTATGATGCTTCAATTGTATAATTAGTCCTTAAAACTTTCTCTTGTGCTCAATGTGGGGGGCTGCAAAGCGGATATAAAGTTAGTTAGCCGCCCTGTAAGTGTACATTATGACATGTAAACAGTTAGGCCGCATATGCCAATTTTCCATTTCCATTCCTCATTTCACTCGCGCATATATACACGGCGTTTATTTACTCTCTGGTAAGCGCTCGTGCATGCACCTTCACGTGTGTACATATTGTCGCATGGACGCCTTCACCTTCGCCCTACCTGTATCTGCGATTTGTGTTTCGCTCATATAAAAAAGGTACAGTGCTGTTTTGTGCATTATGTACCACTGTTCGTATTTGTCATTTATTATTATTTTTTTTTTTTCTCTTCCCCCTTTCCAATGGAGTCTACGCGACTGCAATTTATGCGCAGCTCTTCTCAGCAGTGCCTGTAGCGAAGAACACGATTGCACTCTGTCCTTGATGTTTCGCGCGGGGGTATATACATGTATACATATGGGAACTTGCGCGCGTATGTGTTATCGTGTATAACTATGCGCGCATACCACGTACATCTACTTATGCTTATGTACACAATGTGATGAGCTGTTTCTTCTACCCGATACTCCATGTTTTTTTAAACGTTGGAACTTTACTTGGGGACAATAATCATATATGCAGGATACACCCATTTCGTGATTTGAAAGCCTTAAAATGGTTAACGGAAGTTTTATTTTATTTTATTTTTTTGTGAGAGAGAAAAATGGGAAGTCAAAACACACACTCCCGCTTTGGCGCACACTTGGGTTTTTACTCCAGTTGGAACACAGTGGGCATGTTAAGCAGCATGACATGTAAAAAGTGCATAACGCGGCTCATTATAGCGCTCACAAACAGGACAACAAATCGGGCAAAAAAATAAAATAAAATACATGCCACGCGCCTTTCTTGCTCACCTCTTTATCATATTTTTCTGTAAACAAATGGAGGCATTGTTGCGCTTCACCCCAGTTTGGAAAAAAAAAAAAAAAAAAAAAAACACGCGCCCAAGAGCTTTGTTGCAGACGTCGTTATTAAATTTGTAGTACAAATATATGTGCATATATATGTTTACTCCAATTTACCAAGTGGAAGAAGCACACCGCCCCTCAGTTGTAGACGCGTCTTGTGCACATATATAGTGAGGTTCCTAGGTTAAGGGGTTCTCCTGCTGCGTGGCCCTCTACATCAACCAAGACCCATATGGGTATGCACTCCCCCGCAAGCGTGCTTCTCACAGCACAATTTTTTCCTTCCCTTTTGCAACCCGGGTTAATATTTATGCTCCACGAACGGAAGGGCGCACACCTGGGCGAGCGCAAACTTGTGAGCTGATCTGCTCCTTAATATTTTATATTTTTTTTTTTTGGAAAATTCTTGCGGGATGTCGGTAGGTATAGATATGAGCACCTTTTCGTTATTTTTGGCAAACTCCCTTTTGATGTACCCCTGAGCAATTCTCTTTTCATAAACGGGGCTCCATGTGCAGGAGGTTACATAGCCAATGGGTTCCTTATACGGATAGGATAATATTTTGCACGTCTTAAAAATTAATTCCTTAGATACTATGCCAATACGTAGAAACTTAGACTTCATGCTAAATTCCTTTAGCAAATTTTGGTACCCAAAAATATTTCTCTCTTTAATTTTTTTATATTTTAATGTCCAAGCAAGGGATGCAGTAATGGGGGTTGTGTTTTTAAATATGTCGATTCCGCAAAGAGGAATCCCTGCCTCCATTCTCAACATATTCAAGGCATATGCTCCTGCCAATTTTACCTTCACATGGGTTAAAAATAATTCAACCAAGTAATCACTTATGCTATTATCTACAACGAATTCAAATCCATCTTCTCCTGTGTCTCCACATCGGACGCAGAGAATTTCGTATTGGTTCATCTGATCATGCGGCGGTACTTCCCCCTCCACATTCAACGCCTCTGTACTTTTCACCATATTCAATTTTTTAAAACTCATGTATGGAATGTTAACAAATTTGTCCTTTCCCTTTTCTTCTCGTTGGAAATGTAGCCCATAGGGTTGACATTTTTCTGTGTCCTCTTTTATTACATTTTTTAGGAATTTCAACTTTTTCTTCCCTTGAGCTGCATTATCCCAGGTAAAATAATCTAGCACATCATTGAGGACCAGGTTGCTTAATGGCCCTTGCAGCGACAGCACCCTCTTGTTTGTCTCGACTTGTATGTTGACATCCATTCCGCTGTCTCTACAAAATAAAATGTAATCACTTAAGAATTCATAAACACCCTTCTTATAGTATCCTGAAGAGATCAACACGACTTCTTTTTCTCCCTTTAGTACATAAGCCGTATCTATTATGTACGCTTTGTTATCCAACACGCAAGTGTAACAAACGTCGTTCATGTTCATGTCATTTAGGTCACTAGATAAGAACTGGTTGCATAAGTAAATACAATCTCTTCCCGTGAATTTTATTATTACTTGGTAAGATTTATCAAATAAGCTACAAGCATTTCTTGTGTGGAAATATTCTTGCAGGGTACCCTTGGAGAATTTGGACGCTATAATACAGTTATTATAAAGAATGAATGAAGCTCCCTTGCTGCTAAAAAGAGACCCTAGTTTTCTATTCCTATCAGTTGTGCTCAATGTGGTAAACACGTCTAGGCAACTTATGTCTATCTCTTCTCCTTCATCTGCGTAATTTAAAATGTCTTCAATGTAAAGCTTTTTTAAATTTTGCTCATCTTGGCGTTTTTCAAGTACAACCTCATCGGTTATGCCATTCGCGCAATGCGTGAGGTTGTTCTCAAAGAGGGGTTCAAGTTCTGTACCAATTTCTGCATCTTTGCCTTCTATTCCGTTGCTTTGCTTGTCCTCCCAGATTTGCCTACAAGTTGTGGCCTCCTCCATTGGAAAGAGGTTCTCTCTTTTGGATGCCCCCTTTTGGTACATTTCTCCCAATGGGTGTCGTTGAGGGGGATGCACAATGGCCTCCTCCTCTTGGGGTACTTCCATCCAATTGTTGGTGTCCTCCCTCTCTTCGCACATCTCGTCATGCACAACCTTGCAGTTGCCCCAGAGCGCCCCACCTGAAACATTCCTCCTCTTCTTGCGGATATCTCTCAAATACCCTGGAGCCTTTGCATAGCCGTTCTCATTGCCATTTTCGTGAAGGCGGTTTATATTGGTATACTCGTTGGTCAGCTTCTTTATATATGTATCGACAAAATACTGTGGGCTTTCAATTTTGTTAATTATTTCTTTCTTTTTGTCAATAAAATTATCACATATAGAGAAAAGGTTCACACTGGGTTGCATCATCTCTTGTCTGTCCTCGTCATTTATTCCACCACTGTAGGAGTGAGGCTCCCTCATCATGGTCACCTCCTTACGCATTTGCATAAGACGATTTATGCACTCCCTTTCTTCTGTACTGACTTCTTCCTCTACTTTTTGTTCATACATAAAATTCGAACCATTATTTTTGGTCACTTGCTTGAGGGGGTTATATATCCAGCCTCCCCTGCTGCCCTTCTTGATCTTGGAAAATTTGGGCACAAGGTTAGGGCTATGTCTGTACTTTTCTTCGTAGAATTTGTCCCTCTGCTTTTGCCTCTTCCTGGTCACTGCGCCATATGTCCCAAAACCTCTCCTTCCACTTTTGCACATCCATATTGGGCTACCATCGAACAGCTTGGTTACAATGTGCGCACGTGAAACTACTTTCTGGTGACGAATTATTCCATTAAGAAGGAAAGAAAAGGTCTTATTCATTTGAAAGTTCTCGCACGGGTAAAAGCAGCAAATGTGGGTTTACCTAGCTGGGAGGGCAGGACTTCAAATACTCCCGGACGGGTAAGTGTCACCATGTGTAGGAAGTAAAAATGCCTAGTCAGGACAACTGTGCATATTTTTATGCTCAGTTTTGATACGTAACAGGGTGTGGCTGTTCGAGGTACTTGCTCATTTTTTTTTTAAAGCTCATTTTATTGGAGCCCTTCGAACCATTCGTCCTTATCAACATGGCATGTGTGTGTTGACCATTTGGTGCATCCCCCGTTCGAAGTGTCGCACTTTTTTCAAGACGTTGCCTTTTTCAAGTGAACCCACTTCGTTCGCGATGAACCACTGTCCCATTACGTTACAGAAAAATGGAACCAATGTTGACTCCGACTTTCCCCTCGGTATAACCGGGCCTCGGAAAATGCCTTCAACAGGTTTGCGACATCAAACTTGTCGTAAAGGAGCGGATCCTTTTCGCTTTAATGAACAGGCAACTTAACTAAGCCCCTTAGCCTCGCATATGCACATCTAGATGGTTTTCAAACAACATTCCTCCCTCTTCCGACACACGCAGCGCCACACTCAAGTGCGTACCGCTTCAGCAAATGTTAGGATAAAAAGCCCTATTTTGGGAGCACTCTCTTTAGAATCGTTCCAATTTGGACGAACCTTGCTTTTGACGCACCCTTTTTCGCTTCGTCAATTCCGCTAAAAGGCATAAGTGAAGGGATGAGTATTCCCTATACAAGTGAGTACAATGTGCGAATTGTTTTAAAACACGTAGAAACCCTTTGACGAGTTGAAACGAAAAAAAAAAAAAAAGAGAGAAAGAAGGCTGTGCCCACGCGGACATACTTTTCGATGAGCACACTTGCGCATATTCACGTATACGCTGTGTAACTGTGGACACCAAAACAACATACGCAGGTACGTGGCGAATGTGTTCGCGCCAAGGATGCGCTCTAAAGTGGAAGTTGCTTTTCCAAGAATTTGGCCACATTCTTGATACACAAAAAAAAAAAAAAAAAAAAAAAATTAAAATAGATAGATACTTAAATGGATAATTAAATGAAGTCAAATGTAACACACGAATGCCCCTTTTCTTTTGTGTGCATCTGGCCACATACGTATGGTTCCACCCCGCTACACAGATGCAAACACAGAGGACAAAAAGGTGGTGCTAATTTCACATGGGCTCTTCACACACGGGGCGTGGGCGGAAGCACTCACCTCCCTACCATAATGCGCTACGTACTATGTGTACACCGTATGCACGTTTCTCCTTCAACTGTGGGTTGCACCATAGGGGATGTGGGGGGTACGTTGTAACCCGCATAGAAAGGTGCTGCCCAATGCGAAACCCACCACGCGTAAGGCTCCCCACACTGATACATCAAACAAAATGTGCAAGAATGTTTTCCTCAGCAAACTCGGTATTCTTATACAACTTCCACGTCCTGTCAAATGACGTAGATGATATGAAGCTCCCATCTGGAGAAATATCAACATTTCTGACCTTATCATTATTGTGTAAAATCTTGGTGCAGTAGAAATTCACAGAGTCCCATATTTTGATGAAGGTGTCGAAGGAACTGGACGTTATGTACCTTCCATAGGTTGGCTCGAAAACTGCGTCCGTTACTATTTTGTTGTGTGCAAGGATGTTACAAGAAACGGTAAAGTTTCTCAAGTCGAATATCTTTATTGTATTATCAACTGAGCATGTACAAAACATGTTTGGCATGAAGGGATTAAAATTGATATTCATGATACAGTTATTATGAATCATTTTTTTTTGGTCAATATTTTTTCCCGTTCTTATGTCCCATAGCATTAGTCCGCCCTTGGAGTCTCCAGAGAGGTATAAATTTCCATAAGGGTTAAACGTGGCCGAATATACATTCGTGTTGTGACCCTCTTGGTAAAACAGCTCTTCCTGCGTTTCAATGTCGAAGAACTTTATCGTTTCATCTTCCGAGCATGTCAGGACATGCCTGTTTAATGGGTGAAAGGATATTTTGTTGATCCGATCGTCGTGTGCCTTTACCTTACACAGTAGGTGTTTGTTACCGTCTTTACCACTTTTACGACTTTTATGGTCGTTATTGAGGTTTCTTTTTTTCCTTTCCTCATTATGCTGGTCACCCTTTCCCTTCGCTCCAGCACCTTTGGGGTCCTCTTCTTCATTATCGCTTAACTGGTCGGAAAACTGTTCGCCGTTTTTGTTCTTCCTCCCCCCTGGTGCCTTTTCGCGAGTGCCTCTATAGGAAAGGTTTTGGTCATCCAGTAAGTCCTCCTCCGTGAAGGGCCTCCAAAGGCAGAACGACTTATCAGATGAACAGGATGCCAACAGAAGATCCATCTTCTCCACATCCTTATAGCTGAGCGTACTATAGTAGGAATAATTATTGGGATAGTTCCAATTTATGCAATTAATTTTATCCTCATGTCCATTTTTAAGTGTCTTCACGATATTGTAATTATCATTTTGATAATTAAAAAGGTTAATGTAAGTATTATAACTGCTGACTGCAAACACGCTATTGTCAGGGGAAAATTTTCCCATGGTTAGAGGTCTATCATCACCAAGTTGAGAAATGAACAAATCGAATTCACTCTTCATATGTTCACTATACAAAGATATATATCTTTCAAATTCATCTTTGGAAAAATTGTCTTGAAATTTATTTATCATTTCTTTATGCAATAATATCCTCGGCAACGTTTTTAAGGTTAAGTCCAAACGAGCTATCTTAAGTGCCTCTGAACTTTCTGTGTAGAATTTTTCCGTGATGGCACCCTTTAGAGTTACCCCTGTAGCTGCAACACTTTGTTCTTTTAACCTCTTCGTCCCTAACTTTTCTTCCAATTCATGTATTTTTAAATATTCGGGTGAATTTACATCATACAATTTGCTAAAGTCAATGTAGTACCTGTTAAGCATGTTTTTGAATTCCTGCACTTCCTGTTCATTGTCGATATTTTTTTTTTTTATAAGTTTATCATATTTTGTTACTAATACACTTTTGAGTCTTTTTCTTTTGTCATAGCTATCTTCTCCAAAGAGACAAATGGGTTCTTTCAATAATCTCAGGATATTTTTCACATCCAAATCCTTCGTGGGAATTCCCAAACCCACTTTCCTTATCTTACTTTTAATTTCAAATTCTTCCAGTGCATTTTCGCCGCTGGTCATTTCCACCTTCCCTTTACCGATTCCTACACCCATCCCTATTCCACTTTTTTTCAGCTTCCCATTTTGGTTTAATATGGATTCACTGAGGACATCGCTGATTTTCATTTTTTCCAAATCGTGTAGCAGCTAAGTGGGAAGACCATTGGGGGGAGAGGTCATACGTCGCAATCGTGCACCTCGTACGCAGGAAACTTTACATAGATGCGTTTATACACGTATACGTACGAAATATGTTACACGTGATGTAGAGGCTTATGTGCCCCTTCTTATCTCGGCCATGAAGGGAACACGAACCGAATGTGGGGCGAATGCAAAGTGGCTACTGCCAGGATGCACACAAAAACATACAATATGCCCAATGCGCAGGAGTTACCATAGCGCGGAAGTGTCCTCTTTTTTTTCCTGAGTACAACTTCGACCAACAACGATCAGCCACATGTGAAGCAGTATCTACTTTGATATATAATGCGACATGGAAACGGGTCCTTGGGCGTATCTCCCCCCCTGTATCTGCTTTTCGTTCTCACATCATGCAACGCGGAATCGAAGCACTACATACAAGTATATAAACTGCGCTGCAACAGTTTGTAAATATTGAAAAGAGGGGCAGGCAAAAATGAACGGAACAGTCATAGGGGAAAATAATATACAGGAAAAGTTAAAACAATTAAAAGTAAAAATGGAAAAATACATATGGAAAACTCGAAAGAAAAAAAAAAAAAAAAAAAAAAAAAAAAAAAAAAAAAAAAAAAAAAAAAAAAAAGGAAAAAAAAAAAAAAAAAAAAAAAAAAAAAAAAAAAAACAAGCGACTGAAAAATTACGCGAAACATGAAGGCAATAAAGGAAAAAAACAAAAGTGGTCAACTGAGTAAAAATTTGTAGGTTGGGCGAAGCACGTGCTGTATCGAAAAGGAAAACCGCTCAATTTTGAAAAAAAAGTTGTGTCATACATATGGTGCATATAATTAACGTATGTCAGTACCTCATGTACCTTTTTAATAATAAAAGTACCAACAGTAAATTGTTGGGCAAAAGAAAATACACAGAAAATGAACACATTCTAGAAGGGGAGAACAACCTGCCTTTCACGGTAGTGGTAGAGTGAATTCGTTAAACAGTGTGGCCACCAACTCGATGGGGAGAAAAAAGAAGCATCCCTATGGAAGTACAAATATGATACAACCTGTATGAAGTACCAGCATTTGACACGACACTAAACGAATGGGTTATATATGCGCAGGATGCTTTGCTAAGTCAACCTTGCGAAGAAATGGCGGTCTACTTTGTTTTTCCTTTTCCAGTCCTTTCGTTTTTTCTAGCTCCTTCCACGTATTCAATAGTGGCTAATTGTGTAGGCAACACTACTTTTATGTCCCTCCATCTGCCACGAGCATTGTAGACCAATTGGCAAACCGCTGTCAATGATTTAGGTTTACATGTGTTCCTCACAGCATGTACAGTATGTGCACCCCTTCGTGTATTTAAACACGTCCAAGCATATAACTATTCACATGTGTTTGTGAAGATGGTCTAATATGTGACGCCCCTAACTCGTAAGTAAACTCATTTTTATTTGTTCGAAAGTATCTCTGTTTAAGGTCTTCCTTGTTAAAAGAGGTTACCCTTTTTGCGCTTTTCTTTTTTTTCATTTATTACTGTGTTGCAGGGGGGATGGGCTGGCACATCATAGGGACATAGCAGGAAACATGCCCAATGGCGCTTCATACCAAGGGGTTATTAAAAAAAAAAGGAACATTTTTAAAATAACATAAATATAATTTATTCATAAAAAAATGGAATACGAAATGACATGTGCTCATACGGATATCCTTTTTATATCACTATGAAGCTTTTATTTTCTTGTCCAATTTTTTTTTTTTTTTTTTTTTTTTTGCGAACATCGCACATGTAATGTTAACGTCCTCTGCAGCATACGTTAGTACCATTGCGACGGGCATTTTTTTTTTTTTTTTTTTCTTGTTATATGGAACCATTTAAAATTACGCGCAGCGAAGAAAACGAAATTTTGTCAAAATCGCGCTTTTCTCGCAATGTGTCACATCCTTCCGCGTTGTGCTATTTACGGAGAGAAAGTCAGACACACACTTCCGTAACAAATGTGCGCTTACCAACGGTTTGCATACTTGAAACGCGGGATAATATTTTCCTCAAAAATGTGTGTGCACGATGGTAGAGGTGTGAAAAACCAGTATGTAAGCTGCTCGCACGGGTGTCAAATATTACATACGTGTAACTATACCCGTAATTATCTGCCCGTTCCACTCATTTATAAACAGCGATCATCAACTCTTTATATACATACGTGCGCACGCACTTAAATAGCAATTTCTTCTGTATGCATACATTTGTATGCTGCATTTATTTCCGGATGCACCCCCCGTGGTTTGCTTGACGGGAATACTCATCCCCTGTCGGTGCATGAGTCTGAATTGGTTGCCATTTTTTTCTCCCCCCGCGCTTTCAAATTTTTGTTCTTACAACTTTTTTTCATAGGGGGGCGATCAGTGCACGAACGTGTATAAGTGAATAGGCGAAAAGTTGAGCGACAAAATAAGCGAACAAGTAGCGAACAAATTAATAAAAAAAATTAATAGATAAAAAAATAAACGCGCGGACGCACAAACAGATCGGCACTCCGAACGGAACCACTAAAAGGAGAACGCAAAGTGCCACGATGGTTGCAATTTAGAACAGAACAGCGAACCTCTCCGTGCTTCGAAGGGGTGAAATTTGTAAGCTGCCCGTGTTGTAAGATCTGCGCAAATTGCTCAAAATGCGCAAAGTGGACCAAATGATATTTTAAGCTTTTGTAACCGAACACAGAGAGTTCGCTTCTTTTGTGATTAATCCGGCGAAGGGGGAACCAGTACACCAGAGGATATCCCCCGGCAGCCAACGTGGGTATGTGTACTCGTATACATACGTACGCACGCATATGTACGCATGTACACACGTATACGCGTTTATCTACGCGTAACCACTCGTCACTCGGGAATCTTGTGGCGCAAAAGCGAACGGGCTGATTTGTGTGCGACGCGGTCGCAAGGGATGACCAGCAGGTGGGTCTGGAAAGGCGGCGAAGCAAATTCAAGTCGATACCCCAATTTGAACGGCGGCTTAGAACGGCGGATTAGAATCGCACCTCAGAAACGCCACCTTTAGTGACATCTTCTAGGGGCACCTTCTAACTGCACCCCTAGAAGCACCTACTGGAACCCACCTTGAAGGCCAAGTGTCCCGAATTTTTTCCCCACCGCCTGCTCATAAACCGCCGGAAAAATGTTTCAGAAATTCCTTTCAGACATCCTGAACAAAGTGCTGGGGAACTTTATTTACGGAATAGATGACGAGCAGTTCGGGATAAGCGACCTCCTAACTGGCAAGCTGGAGCTAACGAACATCCACTTGAAGCAGTCTATTGTTGATCTGATTGATATCCCATGTAGACTAAACTTTGGGTGCATTGGATACTTCAAAATTAATTTACCAATTTTTTATTTTATGAAAAACCCGATCAATGTGTACATAGAAGATGTGATCCTAGTGCTGTCCACCATCCCACCAAAATATTTCGACGATAAATTATACAAGGAGAAATATATAGAAAATAAAAAAAACTCATTACTATCTTCAGAGTACAGAGCGATTGTTTGTTCCATAGAAGGGGGGGTTATCTGGCAAATGCTGCTGTCCGCAATAAATAATATAAACATTTCAGTGAAGAATGTACATATACGAATAGAAGATTTCACAAGCAACCCTTCTACCTGTTTTTCCTTCGGAATCAGCGTCGAGGAATTGTTCCTAAGCTTACCAAAAGATGGATTGCCCATCAAGAGGGATGGTTACTACACCAAAAAAAATGAGCTAGTTAATAACACCATGATAAATATGATAACGATTAAAAAGTTGGGGTTCTACATGGATTATCTGGATATGAAAAAAATTATGAATAAAAAATATCATGCACAGTGGGATAATTTATATATGAACAATTTTAGCTCCTTCGATGTTGGCTCTCACGAGGAGAAAAAACACACTAAGACACGGGGGAAAAGAAAAAAAAAGAAAAAAAAAAACGACAAAAAAGGAGGAAAACATTCGAATAATACTACACACAAGCGCCGAAAAAAAGGGCCACACTTGAACAAAGTGAAAAATATCAAATCGAATGAGGAAAACTTGAGGGACTTCCAAGATATTATTAAAAATATTAAGAACACCTTCTCAGAAACGAGAAGGAATGAGCTAGATGTAAAAAGTATGAGCAAATTTAATCAAAAAATTCACCAAATTAATGAACAAATATTACAAAACGATCGAGATGATCACACAAAATCGACTCGTTATCCCATTATTGAAGGAAATTTAACAGACACCAATGGTGATAACGCTAGTAATTGTTTGGGGAAGAAGGATGGAAAATGCGCCTTATCTATTAGCAACTTTTACAACTTTAACCTTTTCTCCAAAAAGGAGGAAAAAATACTCCCAGTTATGCACAACCTAGGCATCGACAATGACGTCAGCTGGGTTGCGTGCATCACCAAATTTTCAGAGTCTCTAGAAAATCCAGTCCTCAAGGGAAAGAAAAATGAAATAATCAAGCGTAAAAGGAAAAGGAATGCACACGTGAACAGCAAAGGTGATGACTTTGTCCTACATGGTGAGGAGAAGAAGAATCACCAAATGAATATCCACTCCCCACTTAAGCACCCATCGAATGATTCCAAGGAGGAAGGACAAAATTATCTCAACAAAGCGGTGTCCTTCTTCTCTATAAACTCATTTACCAACGTTATTAATAAAACTTTGATAAATCGGACCAGTAACAAAAGCAGTGATGACGTGGTGAGCCCCAACGAGGAGCTCATCCTCAGCGATGGGTACTTCACCACCAAGGAGAATGGCTCCGATCAAGAGTCCATCGGTAGAAATGTCTACCGTGGCACGGACTGTGCAAAGCGTGCTAACACCCCTTTCAGAGACGTGAAGAAGCAGAAGAGGTATGTACGTGTACAAAATAGGACAAGCAGTTGCGGAGCGAACAAGTATCACTCTATGATGGATGATTGTAAGCAAAATTCAGACGGGGGACCAAGTTCCCCTGTTGTCCTAAATGGCGATAGTAAATTTTGTCTCAATTTTGCGAGTGACCCAGAAATGAGGACCACCAGGGGCAGACGCAGTCGTATGAAGAGACTTGGAAACGCACAGCGAAGGAGGCAATCGTACGTCGAAACAGAATCGGAATCACAATTCGATGAGGAAAAATTCACAAAGTATGTAAAAAAAAACGAAATAAAAGAAAAAATACGAACAAGAAAAAGAAAAAAAATACACTCAGTCTATCTAATGTACGAAAAAACGTACAAAATAAGCAAAGAAAAGTTAAACACATTTTATCTCTTTTTACAACTTATAAAAAATATAAGGCATGAGTATGTAATACATCCGAATTGCTTTGAAGGGTATGGTGAAATTTACCTGAGTTTGATTCCGACTGACCATGGAAGACTTCCATTTGCTCGATGCTTCTCAAGCTGGGGCATACAAAGAAGAAGCGAAAAGGAGTTTGAAGAATGTCTACCTAAACTAAGTGTCTTCGTCACCTTGAAGAATATAAAAATAATTTTTTCTGATAAGCAAATATTAAATTTTGTCAAGTGGATAAACTTAAATTTTGTTACGTACACTGTTTGGAAGGCAGGAATCCTCTCCCAATTTGAAAAGATCAAGGCGGACAATGAAGACGAAATTAACTATATAAAGAAATGGGTTCTAAAGCTCCTAGACACGCACACATCAAAGGAGGAGAAGATAGAAGCGGAGAAATTCTGCGAGCAGTTTGAAAATAATCATTCCATAAATATAATTAATTTATTGCGGAGTAAAGCCTTCTGCAAACTGCAGGAGTTCAGGAAGGAGGTGGAGTTGCGCGGAGGCGCCACGGCGGAGGATCCAAAGAATATGCCGAACAGGGGAGACAACATGGGGGAGGCAAACAGCCATCCTAGTATTAATGAAGGGGACAATGGAGCCGTAACAGATAAGGCTTGCCCGCAGGAAAACCAAGAAACAAGCGGCGCAGACGGAAAGGATAATCAACTGAAACAAGTCGCCAGCGAAAGTATACATGCGCTTAAACTTTTAATGAAAAATCAAAAGGTGTATAATAAAATTAAAAACTCTTTCCGGGAAAAAATATTCACCATAGACATTTGTATAGACATCTGCATCATTAACAGTACCTGCTTGGTGACGGTTGAAACGTGCAACCGAATAAACACCAGGACGGTGAACTTTGTAAAAACGTACGCACTCCTCATGCAGTGCATTCACTACCATAACCAAATATCAAACACACACGAATTGAAGAACTCCATAGATTTAGAGCTTTACCCTCTAACATTACTTCTGGTAGTTAAAAATTTAGACAATAAATACATCAAGCCAGACATAAATGTACTGTACATTCTGACCAATGCAGGTAAGAAAGACAATTACGAAAGTTATCGCAAGAAATTTTTGTTTAATGTTGATAATTTCGAGTTTTTAAAAAAGTACAACATACTCAAGAGGGATAATAAACGTAAAGATGATTATGTAAAAGGGAGAGATGGAAGTCAAAATTTGAACTTTGGAAGTTTGAGACAGAAACTCAAATTTTTGGTGGAAGACAATTTTTTCTTTTTTCCAAAAAGGGATAGTAACATTTACTGCAATGAGCTAAATAATATTGTCTTGTCGGACCCGTCCATTTATCTCAGATATGATAATCAGTCCTACACTATTTTGGAAAAACCAGACCATCGACTCTTTTTGCATAATTGTGCTGATTCCATATTTAATATAAACGGAGAGATCGTTAATTCATTCATTGATGATTATTTTCATTTTTGCGACGTTAGAGAAGTTCTGTCAAAGAAGAAACAAGAAACAATCTCTTATAAAAGGGAATACTTTTTAGAACTAGGCGCTAGATACTGCAACGATATATTAGACAACTACACCAAACATACTAATCTCTTCCTAGATGTGGAACTTGAAAAAATACTTTCCTTTGTCATTACGAAATCTGGAAAAGGGTCGGAGGTGCAGGGCTACAGCTTAAATTTAAATCCGGTCAAAATCGTTAGTCAACTAACCCAACGAATGGTTTGCTACGACGAAACGGCCACTAACAAAAATGTCTATGACTCCTTTTTCCTACAGTTTGATGGAATAAAGGTAAGAAGGATTTTAAATTGGGACCACGCAGCTAGGACTTATAAAACTTATTTGGATGAGAATTTTATAAGACCCTACCGTAACTTATTTCATGCCAAACATAAAGGTTACTTTACTAGAAAGAAGGCAGCCCGAGACAAATTTTCATTCAAGCTCAATCAGGGAAATGATGGACATAGATATTCCCACAGGAGAAGTGCATTAGAATTGGATGCACAAGGAGGAGCAAGTGAAGCAAGTGGTCAGGGTCACACTGCCCACATCAGCAACAATGACGATAATGATAACAACATGTACAACTCCATTGATGAGAGAAAACAATCAGAAATTTTTAATTTAAAAAAAAATGAAAAAGAACCAGACAGTGAATATTCTTCTTCTCTAGAAAATTACAAACAAAGGAAGAGTAACAAGTTTTTAAGATCCACCAGCTGCCCACCTGCCAAAAATGGGAAGAATGCTTCCATGTCGCAGACTCACGCGGATGGAGAAAGGAACACGATAAAAGGAGCGTCATACAACGTTAGCAATCTTAAAGGGACCTACTGCATGGACAAAAGGTACAGTGCCTTTTTCTTTAAAACATGTGCAAATGAATACGAAGAGGAAGAAGAAATTTTGGAGAATCACAGCTTCCTAGACATGTACCAAAAATCGTGGAACGACGACACATACCATGATAAGGACATACAAAATGGTTACTCGTACTTTAACCAAAAAAGTGTAAACTACGACAAAAGTGAAGATAAATCTTCCAACTATGTGTTCTCCATGAGCGAAAAGGCGTCTTGCACCATCCACGTGTGTCACTTAAAATTCAACCCGAAGTTCCCCATGTGTATCGTGAAGCTTAACGAAGAAAATATGTATATCAATATTTGCGATTACGACATGGAATTTTTTTTTCTCATTTTTTCCTACATTTATGGACACTACAACATGAAGCAGGTGGAAAATAAAAAAAGAAATATTCTTTTCTTAAAAAAAAAAATTAAGTCCATGTATAAATTGAACCAAAAATATTACAAGGCCTATGCGACTGCACACAAGGATAAAATGGTTGAACCTTCGTTTAGAAAATCTGCAGCTGGATCCGTACACCTCAAGAGGAGGCACCCTAGCACAAAGAAGAGGACACACGAAATGGCCACAAATAGTGATGCTTCTCGTCCTATCCATTTGTCTAACCCCAGTGAAAAAGTTAAAAGGACAAGAAAAAAACTCAAATCATCAAAGTCCGACCAGGGGCCAGACACCCATGTGGAAGCACCTCAGCAGGATACCACCATGGACGGCGAAAAAAAAAAAAAAAAAAAAAAAAAAAAAAAGTGATAAGTGTGACAAAAGTGGGTACTCACTTCAGAAAAAAAAGTCAAGCACATTTAAATTGTCCCCATATAGGAAGGGCCGAACAGCAGACGTGTTAAGAACCCAGAATAATGGACTTCCTCTAGAGGATACATATTGCAGACAAAAGAGGGATACTCTCGTTGGTTACTTAAGTGATAGCCATGTGAGAACCACAAAGGAATTGTCCATATCAGAATTAAGAGCCGATTTGGCTGGAATTTTGGGCGAAGGTAGGGATCATGGCGGGTTGGAGAACCACAGTGACTATTTCTTGGCAAAAGAATATATAGGACAAGGAGATCCTCATTTAGGAGGCAGCATTGGAGAAAAGGAAATTTGCCAACAGGGCGCAGCAGACGCAACCGGATGTAATCATGAGGATGAGAAAGACGGAAGCCAATTGGGAGGCTCGTTCACAAAGTTAAGTGAAGAGTCAGACGATTCCCTGTTGTGGAATCGCAAGAATATGACTGAGGTGAAGAAGATTTCCCACTACAATGACGACATTTCTTCTTTCTTGAAGCAGGAGAAACCAGAAGAGGGAAAAAAAAACAAAATAGAAAAATTTAAAAAAAAAAAAAAAAAAGGGGGAAAAAAGAAAGAAACAAACCAGATGGAACAAATGGACAATCATCTCTCCAACGTTGATCAACACCTCACACAAATATCGTCAGACGACGATTCGTGGATCGACCTGCTCGAAAACTATGACAGCGACGAATCGCTAGATGACCACGAAAAAACAAAAGTGCAAAAAATGCTAATCGATATAGAGAATATTAAAAAAAGGTTATCTCATAACAATTTCAGCATTACATGTAGCTTTTCTCTGTCTATTAAAAAAATATTTATTCGCTTCTGGAAAAGGAAGAGCCCTTTAAAGGGACGAAAAAAATCCAAGGAACTTACAAGTCCTAATACATTTCAATTAGTAGAAAATGGCATAAGCTCGGACAATAAAATATCTTCTATATTTGGTAAGGGAAAATATAAGGCCAAACTATCCAGTGTCCAGGATGAAGATGAGCACATAGCGGGTGAAGGGGAAGGGGACACGCTGCACAATTTGACCAGCACGTTAAGAGAACAAGAAATGAATGACTTCCACAGGAAGGACAAAAACAACATCATGATGGATGCAAGCCAGGATGATTTATTATATAACAAAAACTTCATTGCGCTTAACGAAAATATGCAAAAGAATATGTTCAACAGTATGCAATATGCCATTCCACTGTGCACCATCATTTTTTCTGATATATTCTTTGTTGCAAAAGTGGAAAAAAATAATTTCACCTACATTTTATACTCCATGAATGGGGTCGACGTGAGGGATGAAACGAACATTGCGCTGCTCAGCATGAGCTCCATTTATCATAGCGACTTGAAGTTTGTCAACCGCAGCGAGTTCGGAACAGACAGGGCGGAGCGTACCAACGGATTGAAGTCTCGCAATTGGGGGAAGTACACAAGTGGGGAGAATATTCTGAATTCGGAGAAATCACGCAAGGTAAATAAAGGGACAAATGAGGATCCCCTGAACAATAACGACATGATAGAAACGGAGGACACGTTTTTGGACTACTCCATAAGCAACATCGACTTGCCGGATCTCGAAAAGACACACCTCGTGTTGCTCTACTTTGGCTACCTATTCAAAAATAACCACACGTTCAAATTTATATTAAACAGAACAAAGGTGAAAATATTTTGGGAAATTATTGATGAATTTCTAACATGGGTTTTAAGCATTAATGAGCTGCTACCACAAATGAACACAATTGAGGAAGACATCAACAGAAAGCTGGACGATAGTGAAGATATGCATTTAAATTATTTGCAAAAGGTTCAGTACATAAATTATGATATTATCTCCATTAAGCATAGCAATACAATCGTTTCTGGAAAGGGCACCTACAAAATTGCGGTCGACAGCTTGATTAACAACTACAGTGTTATGTTTCAGTGCAACGAAATGAGGAGCATCCCAAATGGGGAGCAAGACGCGGCTATGCCAGGCATCAAGCACGGGGAAATAATGTACACTGACGCGCAGGATGACCCGACAGCAACATACTATCTCATAACAGAAGATAAATCGATCTGTTGCAACCAGTACCAAACAATCATCATTGAAAATCGGGAAGGCATTAATACCACCTTGAAGGAAATCCTGCTTCACGAAAACTACTTTTTTAATTACACTTTTAATAAAATAAATAAAAAAAAAAACGTCGAAAAAATTTTAACTGCAGATAGTGTAAAGGGTGATGTTCATAAAGGGAATCAATTTTTCTCCAGTGGGTCACACTCTATAATGAATGGAAGTAGCTCAACATGGCCTCCACCAAATGAACAGATACTACTACAGAACAAGAACTACCCACCTCATTATGACACCCATAATACGAAGAGGGGAACCATACCTTTTAACAACTCGGACCCATTAAACAGCTGCCGCGATTGTCTCCATTCAAAAAATTTAAACTACACTGCCTACACAAAGGAACTTTGTAAAAGCAATGCATACCCCTACATACATCTAGACATCGAAATTAATTACTTCGAATTATGGGTAGCTTTAGACCCTGTTAGGGTTCCGCAGAAAAGAAAAAATTCATACCTTTTGAGCGAAGAGCCCAATAAGGCATATCCTAACGGCGGCAAAAAAATTAAAAGCAGACAATCGAGAAAGACAAGTGTGGCTGATAAAGCGAAGGAATGGAAAAACAAGTCTATTAGAAGCCGAAGGAGGAAGGAAGCTAATCGGGGGAAAAAAAAACGGAAAGTGAGCGATCCCTATAATAGTTACCAAATGGAAGGGGGAAGATCTCGCCCGGAAGGGGAATACCCATATGGAGAATATCCCGATGGGGAATACCTCAGTGAAAAACATGATAACCATCAAAGCGGGGAGAAAAATACAGGCAGATTCAAATTCCGCCAAAAAATCAAGTGGTGCAAAGGCTTCTATATCGAAAATCCGTACGTTTTGGCCACGAAGGGGTGCCTGAAGTCTGTGATTTTTTTCTTGCTATATAAAGAGAGTTTAGAAGGGGGCAGAAAGGAAAAGGAAGACGCACGGAGAAACTCTGGGGATTGCAGTAACGGAAACGCTGGAGATAGCAGCGATAAGGGTGATAAAGGCAATGAGCGAGATTCCTCTTCCCGGGTGCGCTGGATAGGGGATACTCCCACGAACGAATGTCCCCAAAGCAGCCAAGAGATCAGCAACGACTCGAGCAACCTGGAAAAGAAAAGTAACCCTAATGAGCAAATGGAGGCACTACAAATGAAAGTGACGGATGTATTGCGTCATTCCAATTTGAACAAAGTACTAGACGCAAACGACTTTGTGAAAAGCAAATTCATGAAGTGGATTATCCAAGTGTCGTCATACGTCCCATGCATACTAAATATGAATATATTTCTCTCCCAAATTACAAGTGCTATAAGCAGACCAGTCACAAAAAACCCCTTGCTCAGGGCCTACATCGATTGGAACAACGTGCCCTACAATAACATCCTCCTACAACCATGCAGAGTAAATCTAAATTTCGAAATGAAAATACCAAGCCCAGAAATATTGATAGAAAGATGTTTAGGAATAAATAAAGTAACGAGTATAAAAATTGCACAGAAGGATAATGTACTGGTTCAAAACGATGTGGAAGGGATAGACATCAACTGTTCCTGCGAACCCATCATTCTGAATGTGGATTCTAACGCCTTAACCCTACTCAACCAGCTATGCAATATAATATTTGACTTTTCGACCTACTTCTTTGATTTATGCTCATTAAATGAGAAGGAAGAAGAAGAGGACTTACTACTAAGAGCAACATCCACGAACGATAATTTTTATGATCACACAAATGAGCTAATGGTTAGTGATAGCTTCTACTTTAATGTTATGAGTACTTCTACAAGTGGCATGTCTAGTGGATATGCGCTAAGTGACTCAGAATCACCTGTTTCGAACCGCCATCATTTGGAAGAAGAAATACGCTCCTTCAAGAAAGATGAGATGAGTAGATTATTCGTTAGTTTTTGCTTAACCCCTGGTGGTAAGAATCATTCTAATCCATTTCGTGGAGTGAAATCCACTGGAAGGGACAACCTCGAAGGAGTAAAAAATTTTCGAACCATAAAAAGTTTCATAGCTAGCAAAAATGAAACGAATCAATTTGACCTGTCGAACAGTCAACACCTGTTCAGACAAAACTCGGAGAAAAACATCGTAAAAAAAGATCATGTCAACTTCACGCACAGGGATTCTCACGAAAGGGTTAAATGTCAGATGGATTATCCATTAGATTCAAACACACTAAACATGCTAATGATGAATTTTGTAGAAAATATTGAAATGAACTGTAACGTCAATTTCGATGTAATCATTTTTCAAGTATGGGATTCGAACACTGCTTACAATAGGTGCTCTCTAAATTTTGTCATCGAGTATTTTTCCTTCCATTTATATTCCCTAAACATTTATGAGCAAAGTGTATCAGGGGGAGAAGCGAACGGAGTAAGGGTAGCAGGGGATTTCCAATTGATGGATAATCAAAGGGACTTTTCCCCAGGGAGAAGTGGAAAGGATGGCATAACGACTCACTGTCTGCGTGACGACATGACTTTCGAATCGCATATCCCCATGGACAGCAGCTTGGAAGTGTCTCCTTACGCTTTCAGCAAAATTGGTACAGGCAACAATGCCAATTTGGACGAATCATCATATGAGGAGCTGTACTCACGTGAGACCTCGCACAGAGCATGGGCGAGATGTGGTGAAACCGGGTCATCTTCCACACCCCCTGTCTTGAAACGCCCAAATGAGAATAAAAGCGAAATGTACATGTGTAGTAAAACCGCTCAGGAGAAGGAAAATCGGAGGGGAACAAACATAACCAGGGTAATGGATGATATCGCCAATGATATGAACGCAGAGGGGGGAGGAAGTCACCCAGATGGAGCCAAAGGAAACCATTTGAAAAACGACTTGTCAGACTCGAACAGGTGTGGAGAACAAGAGGGGACTACTCCCAGCAGGAAAGAAAACAACGGGTGGAGGACATTTTGCAGTAGGAACATTTTCGTAAAAAGCATTGAACAGTTGTGTGTAGAAATAAAGAAAATATTCCAGAAGATATTTTTTAAAAAAAAGGAAATCAAAATGGAACGAGTGGACCAACTGAATAGAATGGAGAGTAATACAAAGAACAATTCTACACAATTAAAAAATGAAAATAAAAAACCTCAAAACGGAAATCAAATCTTCATAAATAACGAATACATGTTTACTGATATAAAAAATTACAAAGAAAATAAAAAGAGCAAAAATGTGGAATGCAAGATAGAATTTTTAGTGTATTGTGAAAATTTTAACAAGAAGGAAAATTCGTACCAAACATTTGTGGAGCCTGTGCGTGTAGAAATTATAGCTGTGAAAAAGGACCTAATATCTCCAATACATGTATACTACTATTTCTCATGGCTCAACATTAATTTAAATTTTAACATACTTGATAATATCCTCTCCATATGCTGCAGTGTCATTTTTTCTATAATAACCCAGAGGACGCGTTTGCTCCTGGGAAGACACATGAACGAGTTAGACAAAAAAAGAAACATGAAAAAACTTCCTCAGGGAGGAAAAAATGACAAAAATGAAGAACTCTCTTCCAAAAATATGCATGCAAGTAATATGATATACCAAACAGAATATGAAGATAACAATACGGAGAAGAAAAACGTGAGCGAAATGGATGACACGTACACGTCCATGTGTTGGCCAAAGTGCTATGCTGTTATGCATGATGAACAGTACAAGGATGTTCCTCTGCTTACAAATGATCATATCCTATTCAGGTACAACAAGTTTGATGTCCTCCATAGCGTAAATCGATCCCTAGACACCTACATTTTTGGAGAGTTCATTTTGGAAAAGCTCCTGAGAAATTATCAATACTCGTGCCAGTACCCAGGGGACTATTTAGCCAAATATGAAAACGAATTTAATTTGGACAAATCTGATTCTGCCCCTGAGCAGCTCCTTCACATTAAATTGTTTAATTACATTAAGAGGAAAAAGAGACTCGAAATGAATAATATTTGTAAGATTAACAATTTGCTTGGTCAGCCTATTGCTATATGCACCATACAGGCTAAGGGCGATTTGTGCTACGATGAAAGTGAGGGATTCCATTCTGAGGCAAAGGGAAACTCCTTAGGCGGGACAAAAAATTACGATAATAAGGAGAACCTGCTCCTGTCTACCATCGATAGGATATCCAAGAGGAAATTCATGCAAGGTGGAGTTGGAGGACACGGCGCTGTGCCAAACTCGGGTATGGCGAGTAGAGATAGGGAGAATACCACCCGTTCGAAGTACACCTCGCGTATAAAACGAAGAAGGAGCAGTAAATATCGCACACCTGGAGCACAAAACGCTCTCGCGAAGGAAGAAGAAAAGAACAATTTCTCGTCCGATCAGAATGAGGTAAACGCAGATCACACAGATACGTCCACAACCCACAGCAGAAATGCACTAAAGTACCAATGGAAAATATTAAGCAATAACGAATCGCTCGATTTGCCCACGCACAAAAATGGAAAGGTGAAATTTTTCCTAATCCGATTCAGACTGTTAAATTATATATATGACATCCCATCAAGTATACTCAACACAGCGAATGAGAATGAAGACATCATCCGATTGGTCATTCCAGAGAGGAGATTGCCTCCAAATATAAATGCACAAGTGGAGGAAGAGCTATACAATGAACAACTCTTAGAAATGGATAATTTATCCCTTGAGAGTAATTATCATACCATATACCCATCCAACTACACCTCCAAAAAGAATACTAATACAAATAAGGAAGAGGTGTGGAAGCCCGCTAATATTCCACAACCACGAAATCATTTATTTATTTTTTTTCGAACAAGTAGCCGAATAAGTCATGAAGAAAAACAAGAGTATGACTTTTTCCTATCATCCATTGTGGCTATTAAGAACAACACTGATTTTCCCCTTTATGTTTTCAAATCAGTACCAGGAAATTCAAACCGCAATGGTATTTTTAAAGAATATTTTCACAAGTACAATACAGTACCTTCCCCTCCACCAACGTACACGCTAAAAATTGATAAAAAAATAGAAAAGTTCATCCAACATAGTGTGGTGGAAAATAATACACTCAGTGAGAAAAAAAAAAAAAAAAACAAAAAGACAATTAACAACAATGATGTACAGGGCAGTGGGGCAAACAATATGAACGACCAAAATGGTCCCTATCATCAAAGCACAAATAATAAAGAAAAAGCTATTAATTATATTCAACATAAGTCCTACTTGTATGGAAGGAAATGCATTAAGAATATATTTCCATTGATGAAACTATCCTCAGTAGAGCATTACATCTCGGGAGACATCAAATTTAGCTCCTTAGCACCTCTCAAATATAAGAGAAAAAAAAAAAAAAGAGGAAAAAAAAGTAAGCAAAAGCATGAATTACAGAAGCGATTTATCAAAAAAAAAATTAAAGAAATATACCTCAAGAGGGTTTTTAAAAAGACAAGACATAAAAGGATCAGCAAATATGAAAATGGTCTTCTCTCTCGTGAAAAATTTAGGGATTATTCTGGCCAAGCCAATCCATATAGAAATATAATGTCCATAAATGATTCATTTTTCAGTTTCGCGAAGAGATCTTCGCAGCAGTCCGCATCATCGTCCGCTTCCTCTGCGGAGTCTTCCTCATTAACTTCACCCCACCAAGGTATAGCTAAAAATGCGTCAACCACATCACTGAGCTTGACGGATCTGTCCAACATCACCTTGTCGTCACTCTCCAATTCGATCTTCTCCATGGAAAGCACACTAAGTAACAGTTCCGCTTTTGGAAATTCCTTGTGCGATTATGAGAAAGACAATTTTGAAGAGCAGGCACTTCTTAATGAGTACTTTAAAAAGGAGCAAACGAATGCGCAAGGTGACCTGGATCTCATCAAAATAGCTAGCAATAGTAATAAATTAATCCCCATACCTTTATATTGGCTCGTGGCAGAAAATGCATTCATATGGCTCTCTATACAAAATGAAAAAATATACAAACAGGATTTATATGGTTTTTTAAATGACCATCAGAATGCAGATTATATATGCACAAAAGCAACGCTCGACAATATGCTAAATTACCACTCACCTTTCTTTGCCGACACGACGAAAATATTCAAACCATCCATAATTAGGTTAAGAAATCATCTGCTGAAAGAAAATAATGTTTTAACAAAAGAGGGAAATAAAAATAATCAGAATTTGTCCAACAGTTACAATTTGAATTATATGAATTTGAAAGAGGTCTATTTCACGTCCACCATCATCAGTGTCTACAATCCCAATTACGTTCTACATAAAAAGGACGCACATAATTTTTTCCAAATAAGTATTGATCACGCTCTCATGATTAATAATGGACTCCCGAGAACCATGTGTTTGACCTATGAGGTCTTCGAACAAAAGACCACTAAGAGTATGAAAAAAAGCGCTAGCACTTACACCAGTCTTCCATCGCTAGAGCACTCCAATACACAAAAAACATATATCAACACTGATCAGTCGCTTTCTGTGGATGACTCCTACGTTAAAGGACCTGGCGAGAGTGTTTGCGATAGGTGTTGTAAAGGTGAGGAGTTCGCCTCGAATGAGCTGCTCCATTCCAGTGAGAGACTCACCTCAAGTGATGCCTACCAAACGGCCCAAACCGATGCACATAATACAAGTCAAGAGCGCTGTAACACGGATGGCGTGCAGGATGCAGATGTGGAAGTGACGCCTGCTGAGGTGGACAATTTCACCGAGGAATACCCACAGAATGGAGACAACAAATGTGAGCAGAAGAAGGAAGATTCGAAAAGAAGCATCCTCTTTTTTGACAAGCTGAATGAGAAAAAAACCAACCTCAAGCAAATCACACATGGTGGAGACATTATTCCGATGAAAGACAAAGAAATTTTGCTCAAAGAAATTAATAATGATAAAAATGTGTACATATATAAAAACAAAAAAAAGGAAAACAGCCAAAATGAGGAAAACACCAATGGAAAAATATACATGGAAGAAACAAATTTTATCGTTACTATAAAAAATGAGGGCAATAAAAACATACATCAAATTAAGATTGATCCAGGGCAAAGCATAAAGCTGCCTTTCGTTCCTAACAATATAAATATCTCCTTTGATGGATACAATTCCAGGAGTATATCAATTAACTATCCTCATAAGAAGGGGCGGGAGAAAATCATCCTCGAGAAGGAGACCAGAGAGGCCATGGCATCCTTTTTCTCCCTTGACGATGGAGAGGAACAGGTCCCCAATTATGTGGCAACTGTTGGGAGCTCCCTTGATGGGAGCAGCGCGAGTGGAGGAAACTGTTCCGATGGTGTAGTGCAGATAGACCGTGTTGTGCATGCCAACCGTGTAACACATGCGAAACATTGCAGTAACAGTCTAGTGGATGAATCATCACAAAAGGGGGACGTGTATGCACACGCGCGCACAGTGGCTCTGGGCGAAATAAAGGACTACATAAAATATGGTAATCTAACCAACGTAAAGTTGAAAAATGACCGCTTTGAGAAGAAACGAGGAAATTATAAATCGTCCAAAATTGAGGAAGGACAAAAACAGCTAACCATATGGGCCATATTCAACGAATTTTACGAAACAGGCAAAAACAGATACCAAGACATCTCCTTGGAAAAAATTCACCATGCAACATATTCAGTGTCCTGCACGTTTTTCGTCTCAGCGTGTGTAATTAACCGATTGAACTACCCCATTACGTTAAAAAGAATAAACAATGACAACATGGTAGTGATCGAGCCATATGTACGAAAATTATTGCCATGCGAATTTGCCATGAGAAGGAACCGGGTGGTGATATCCTATGAAACACTCAAGGAAGTAAAAAACTGGATCAATTATCCTTTAAAGAAATTTATGATTAGAAGGAAGAAATTGAAAAGGACCAGAAACATAATCAAAAAAAGGAATCACAAAATGGGAAGAGGTGGACCCCTAATGCAGAAGCAACAAATAAAATCGGAAGAGATATACAGTGAAAAAATGGAAGAAGGAGAACAAAAGAACAGTGATCAGCCAATGCAGAATGACATTTCAGAGAAATCTGAACCTAACCCTGAACACATGATAAGTAAGAGTAGATCAAATCTGTTCTACCAAATGAAAAAAACAAAAGGGAACTGCTTCTTTTACCGAAGCAATATTAATAAACCGCTGGAGTCTGAAGATTTTAGGATCACAGATTTGTCCATCACCAGATTGACTTGCTCAAACAAAAATAAAAATGTGCCACAGTTGAAGTATAGCGTATATATGTCTATAGCCCCCATGCCGTTCTTTCGAACAACTGTTATGGAGATACTACCCTACATAGTCATAATAAATAACACCAAGATGAATATCGTTTTTCAGGAGTATATTAAAAATTACACCTATTTTAAATACAATATTTTGGCGCCCGGGGCGTATGTCGAATTTCACCCACAGTCTAAAAAAAAAGCCATGTTGAAAATGTGCGGCATTTTTGAAAGCAGCTTCAATTACCTCATTGATGATTATTTGCAGAAGGAGTTGTACTTGGAGAATTTGGAAAAGGAAAATGAGAAGCTGTTGGGAGGGATAAAGGAAGAGGATTGCGCGAGGGGGGATGATTCTCAAACCAAGTGTGAATTCCCCGACGACTGCAACCTGCTTTCCAAGTGCGATTCACCCGCCGAGCATGATCCGTCTGTACCCCCCCTGAATGATATCTCGCACAAACTGAGCGTTCTCGTAGACATCGAACGGGCGAACCAGCACATGTACAAGCAACACTCTTCGTCCTCGAAAAGCACTTGCAGCACTAGTGCGCAAAACTCCCTTGAGAAGGAAGACGTGGAGAGAGCCAGTGGAAACGACACGAGACCAAATATCATAGTGAAAAAATACAAAAAAGTGGACGCTTTCAAATTTCTCTACTGGTCGGAAGTTCTGGACCTGACCAGAGTGAGCATGATCTATTTCCGCCATCCAGTTGTATCGAATGAAAATTTTAAGAAGGAAGAAAAGAAACTTAAAAAACTAAATCTTCTTTTAAAAAAGAATGGCAAAAATGACGTTACTTATTTGAATATATCCAAGGAGCTATTAAAAACAAGTAGCATACCTTATGAGTACACCTGCTGCTCCATGGAGATCTCCACCTATAAGGGATGCAAATTTGTGCGCTTCCAAGACATCGACGTAGTGCCATATTACCTCTTAAATCTGACCAAGTACAACATTAAGCTCAGACAGCTAGGTATATATGAACACTCCGAAGTGTTACGGAAAATCCCGAAAAAGAAGAAAAAATGCTTTGATGAAATATTCAAAAATTACGCTTTTAATTTCTCATTTTACAACCCGTATAAAGACCCCAAGCTGAAGATCAGCATACTTTCGTCGAGTAAGAAGAATGAACAAAATAAAAAGGAAAAGAAGATCAATCAGAGTGGGAACAATAACAGCAACAACAACAGTAAGAACAACTTGAAGTATGCAAACACGCTGAAGATAAATCTGAAGAACGAACTCAACCACCTTAGCCTCTTGGCTACCAACTATTTGAAGGACAATGAATATGCAAAAATTATTAACGATAAAATTTTTCATTTGAAACGATTTTCAGAACAAGTGGAAAATTTAAATGATGGAAATGTAAATATAATTGATTTGGCCAACTCGACAAACGTCACCTTATTAAAATTGAGACAAGGAGATACATTTGTTTATATTCTTTGCTCTAAGAAAACGTACAATGGGAAAACCATCTTCTCGTTTGAGAATTACGACGATCTTATAAGCAACGTTTTAAATTTCACGAACGCACCACTCAGTCGTAAGCACAATTACAAGCTGCTCAAGTCGTTACATGTCTTCAGCAAAAAGATAAAGAACGTTTACTTCAGGGGGAGAAACAAAAAGCAGGACAAGCGGAAAAGGAGCCGCAAGGCGAGGAAGGACTCCATTGGGGGGAAGGACGCACCAACGGGGGAGTACAGCCCAAACGGGCAAAATGCATATGGCGGACCGGAGGCGTCCACTCCACAAAATCGCGCATACCCAAAGAACCGGAAAAAAACAAATCCATGGCACTTACTGAACTTGTTTAGAAAAAGAAGCACCACGCGATCTATTGAAAAGGGACCCAGGATGACCCACCTTATTAGAGACCTATATGAGAAAAAAATGATCAACAGGGAAGAAAAAAAAAAAGATACATTAAATTTAAACATATTTGCGCACTTCATTTTTAAGGGAGTAGGATTAAGCATCAATAACCACAACTTAGAAGAAATCCTCTACTTCTCCATGGAATATATATTAGTGGTATACAAACAAATAAGTGACAAGGATTTGTTTCACTTAAATATAGGATGGCTGCAAATAGACAATCATACGAAGAACACAGATTATAAGAATGTGCTGTTGCCAATTATAGATTTGAAGAAGAGCCACCAAGTGGACAATTCAGCACAGGAGCAGCATGACCAGAGTGGCTTCGTAAATAGTGCAGGAAATACCTTCGAAAGGAAATTACGAACAGAAGACATGACCACTCTTTATCGCTCAAATGGGGGCAAATCAAATGATACCTTTTCCCGTCAACTCAAGGACGAAAATGAATTTTGCAAAACGAATTCTAGCAATATATTAATGCCAATGGGACTTAAAAAAAATAAATCTTGTGAGGATTACACCTATTTCGAGAAAGACAATCTGCTAATCAGTCCAAATTCTAATAACCCCTTGTCTAATTCTTACAAACTTTTCATCCCTTCCTTTTTCTATATACAACGTAACTCCGTTTTGGACGTAACTATAGTGAAGCAGAAGAGAGGGAACATGAAGAACTTCCTCGAACTATCAGATGTGAATATAAAACTTTCTCCCTTGAGTATAAATGTGGACTCATATTTTATTATTGAAATTTTGAAGATTTTCGATGAACTGTTAAAAATCCTCGAATTTGATTTGACCAATTATAATTCGCTCAACTTGGAGAAGAACATCGAATTGAGGGACACCGATTATGACAGCTTGGAGTACAAACAAAATATGGGCCCAGTGGAAGAACTTATTAAGCACTACATTCTGAAGGACTACCACTTATATGAACAGATAGCCAACTTCAAATTTAATGCCACGAGAAATGAGCAGGGGGTGGAGGAGAAAAAAGAAAAAAAAAAAAAAAAAAAGAACAAAAAGAAGGGAAAGGGGAAGACGAACAAAAAGGGGGAAGGAAAAAGCCGAGAGGAAGCGCCAATCAGCAACATTTTCCACTCCAACACCTTTTGCAACAAATCGGACAACGAGGTGCCAGACGTGAGGGCCTACATTAGTATGATAAATGAGTACAAAAATTGGGGGAAACACGGAGACCAAGCAGCCACGGAAAGTGATCAGGATGGGCAAGCTGAGAGGGGCGACACCGTGGGAGGACTAAACAACCAGAGGGGCATCCCCGCAGGTAACTCGTCAGGTAATCCATCAGGTAACGAGAAAGATCCCATGTTGAAGCACACAAGCGTCGTGCCCGTCCCTGGTGGACACACCCACGGAGGAGAACAAATGCTAAACCAGGTTGCCAACATAAATAACAAGAAACAAATAAACCTAAGGACCAATTACAACTCAGACATGTTTAACGAAAAAAGACTCAAGTATCTTCAATCCTGCGAGAAGTATTACAAAAATTTACTCAACAACCGAAAGCGTATTTTGAAAAAGATCCAAAATATTAATATGAAAAATAACTTAATCAGTTTCGACAAAATATTTATCTCCAAATTAGAAATAAATGAGATTAAATTAATCATTAACCTAAAGAATAGAATCCTAAGCTACGACAAGAAAAGTGAAATAATGGAGTCCAATGTGATGAATGCTTTGGTTGTCCTTATAATGAACATTCCTAACATAAGTGACGCACATATACACTTTGAAAAAGAGGTTAAAAAAAATATGTGCGGTTCGTTATACGTATTAATATTTAACGAAATAATGAATGACTATATAAACCCTGGTATGAACCAAATGTTCAATGTTCTAGGGGCTGTAGATTTTATTGGAAATCCTTTAATAATTTATAAGCATTGGAAAAAAGGTTACAACACCTTCATTAAGGATTTGAAAAAAAGTTTGAATTCATGTTCTTTTCCTTTTTTATTTTGTATTTTACTTTTGAATATACTTGGCCGATTTGGAAAGAGCTTACTATCAGGAATCCTCGAAGGAGTGAGTAGACTTTGTGGAAGTTGGAGTACCTGTTTTGAAAGATTTTCTAGAAATGCAGATAATTTCAGTATCGTTACAAATAGCAATGTTTTGCAAAATGAAATTCTAGACCAACCATCCAACTGTGCAGAAGGAATATGCTACGGGTGCCAGTCATTTGTAAACATACTCGCCATCAGCTGCGTTAATACGATTTATAAACCATTCATGGCAATAAAAAAAATTAAAGATTTTCGAAAGAAGGAAAAAGACAAATTCAAGATATTCCTTTCAGTAGCAACACTTATGTTCTATGGTTTATTCAGCGCATTGAGCAGTCTATTCTTTGGATTATTCAATAGCATCCTCTCCTTTTTCACCTTTCTCTTTATTGGCACATTAAATCAAATACAAACGGTAACTATGAAATCGGTCGTTAGGCCAAAAAAAATGAGCGTCATTAAAGAGTACGCAAAATTTGTTAACTACGAATACCCACTATCTTTCTCTAATTATATCATTAATGAAAAAAAAAAAAAAAAAGAGTTTCTACAAAAAAATATTGTAGCTGTCATTCCGTTATATACGTTCAAAGACAACAACGCTAGCAGCATAAAAAGTTTCCTTTGGGTTAGCAATAAAGAAGTGGGTTATTGCCAGAAGGATAAATTGTTGTGGTCCCTCTTCACGAACTGCATCATCAAAGTGGACATTCTGCTAATCCAGGTGGATCATGGTCAGGGCAAGAAAAAGTTGTCCATATTAGGTCGAAATAAAAACAAAATAAAAAGCAAGCATTCAAATGTTAGTACAGGGGCTAAGGAAGATGATCAACCAGTTAAAAAAAACAAGTGGAATTTTCATACATTTTTCTACCCGCAAAAATATAGACAGTTGGGAGACTTCAAACCATCTTACTACATTAGGATACTGTACCGATCTGTGTATAAGGTAAAAAGATCACACCACAAACCCAAGTTGAGGAACTTCTACTTCAGCAAAAAGGATGACTCCAACCACAGGATGAAGCAAATTATGCGAAAAAACACTTACGAAAGGTACTTTGAGAAGCAGTTCAGGAATGAGCAACTGGCTTATGAGGACGCGGACCAGAGCGACAACCTTAGCGACGGGGGACAGGGAGGTCATCATGACCGACATAAGGGCCACCACAAAAATTGTCACAAAAACAATCACCATCGTGCCGATAACCAATGTGACCATGACAGACGCAGCTCGCGCACCAAACTGTACAAAACGCACCACAAAATGAACAACTACTACACCAAAAATGATACGCGTGATGCAAGCCAAAGCAAGGCCAATAGACGACATAACGGAGAGGAAGACACACTACACCATGGAAATAATTATCGCGAGAGGGACAGGAACTACCCAAGTAGTCGCCCAAAAGGTCGCCCAAGGACTCGTGTGGAAAAAGGACAAAAGCTTGATGATCACATCCTTCTGAAGGGGGAAAAAAAAAACAGATTCAGGAAAAAAGATATCTATTCATACCAACAAAATGATGTGCACATTAGTGAAGACTCTAGAAAGATCAACAAATTGAAATATAAGAAAAAACATGCAAGGAAACATCATACACATAAAAGAAAAAAATTTATATATATTTCAAAATTGGTTAAATGCGAATCGAAGGAAGTTGCTCTGCACGCCTTTTCCCTACTCCTATCCTTTTTGGTGCATAAATCTCCGTACTACTTAAAAACTGCGAATTAGACACACGCGAAAAATTGCACAGTTTGCTGCACCCATTAGGACTCATAAAAATTGCTGCACAAAAGCATAGAGAAGAGAGGCTGCACCGTGAGGATATACCAAATGGTGATACCCCTTAGATATATGTGAGTTTTCCTTAAGCGTAAAATCTGAACCATAGCTAAGAATCAAAGTGTACAAAATTGCACACGGCATTAATATAGCCACGTCTGGCTGTTAACGTGTGCGATTATCTTTTTTACATCTTATTGCGCTTCTTTTTGTTGTGCTTAATTTGAATCCTTCATTTGTTGCTTATTTGTTTTTTGTTTGTTCATTTGTTTGTTTGTTCATTTGTTTGTTTGTTTTTTTATTTCTTTCCCCATTCCATTCGTGCATTCCATACACCTTTTTGTCACTAAATATTTGTTCAGTTAGCAAGTGTGTTTCACCTAGCTATGCAACCATTTCTCTAGGTTGCCCAGTTTGTTAATTTATATGAGAGCCTTGTTGCTCTCTTATTAGCCATGTCGTTCGTATCAGAATGATACATTTTTTAAAAACCAATGTGAATTCTTTGTTTTTTTTTTCCCCCTTTGTTAAACCGATTTGTGCATTTTGCAGAATAAAATTAAGTATTACATTATCTTAAAAGTTTAATGTGCATCCAATAAGATTGCGCGTTGCTATAGAGTAGCCGAAAGCTTCGGTTATAATATAGACGAATATTTTAACAGGTATGCTTCGCCTATCCTTTTAGTATAAGTGGAGAGTATAATTTGTAATCTCCACCTTTTTGTATACCTTACATGTACACCATTATGCAATGTGGTGTTGCATAGCCTTGCCCTGTGAAACAAAATAGCTGGAAGGTATAGCTTATCTACATGATGTTTGTTCACCGAGCGCCTTTGCATAAGGTTGTTCAAAACCGTTTTCGAGTATTCTCCATTTTTTTTTTTTTTTTGCGAGCTACGCGAAATTAAGAACGCTATGCTATACGTACAGACAGTTCATTTTTAAATGATCATTAACACTTTTTGTTTTGTAATGTTCACATGATGAGGAATGGTTGAACCGTACAAAGATAGCTTCCTGGATAGATAAGTTATTTTCCGCCCCTACCGTTTGTTGTATGTGTTGGCAAGCACGAGCAACATGCAACGGTCAAAATGTTCATGGTTCCTTCCCCCGATTTGTCGCATATTGCAGGAAAATGCCACTAAACAAGTGTATCCCTCGTCCAGCTCAGCGAACGCTTAATGTGACGCGCTCTACCTTTTTTGCGTTATCCAGAACAGTTTCCATCCTTAAATTAGTTGTCTTTTTTTTTTTTTTTTTTTCTTCCTTCACTAACTGTAATTGAAAAAGAATGTCTTTTTTTATTTCCTTGTTGTCTTTTTTTTTTTTTTTTTTTTCCCAAGTGTAGCAACTTTGAAATAAACAAATTTCATTAAAACGTTCACCTTTGTGAAAGAACAAAGAAAAAAATAGAACAATTTGAAAGGGGCATTTTACAGCATTGTAAAATGTTTTTAAAAGTAATACTTTCAGCAGTAAATAATATGTGTGCAATTTTTTTTTTTTTTTTAAATTACTGTGTACATAATATATACACCGCCCAACGGCTGTATCCCTTGCGTGCATATTTCTGCACTACACTGGCTGCGCTAATGGCTATAAATATTGCAATTAACCAATTTTCCGCTCGGGCAAGAAATATTACATACAGAACATTTGCTCCTTTGTTCGCTGGAAATTCCACTATCATTACGGATGACGCGTTTTTTTTTTTTTTTCCGACTTTGGAAAGTTGCGCAACAATGTACGTGTGTCGTTAGCAGTAAAAGTTTGGAGCGTATGTCTTCTGGGTGTATTGCATATTAGCGGTGAATAAAATCAGAAAATACGAGCGGCTAATGGCGCCTGCCCCCATGTACATAAACGCAGACTGCATATGTAACATGCATTTATATGCGTGCATGTGGCCATACGTTTATTCGCACAATTATACTTGCGTTTATGCATACAGTTGTGCATAATTAGTATATTCCTTTGCTACCTCATTTTTAACACTATTCTTTTTTTTTTTTTTTTTGTTTTTTCGTACTTCCTAAAACTGCCTGAACAATGCATAATTTGTTAGCCATATCAATTCAAAATAGCTAACTGGAAAGAACAATTTTGGTTAAAAAGTATTGCAGGGTAAGGTAAAAAGGGAAGAAATGCCAAAAAGTTGAAAAAAAAAAAAATTCGAAGTGGAATAAAAGAACAAGGCGAAGACGAAGAGCCAAACCGAAATGGTCAAAACGAATGCGGACAATTCGTTATGAATGCGTATATTCTGAAAAAACGCAAAGGATTCAAAGAAAGCGTAGTTGTTGCCGCTGTATATAAATATATATATAACTTTGTTTTTTTCAGTGTAAAGAAGAAAAAAACGCAATTATAATTTAATAGGGGGGGCTGCAAAAACATTTGACGTAAAACATCGTTTGCGTATACATCGCAATTTTGCATAAATGGCGTTATTTTTTTAGAAGTTTTCTTTTTCCACAAATTTAACATTATCATTAGGCCAAGTGGAATTATATACTACGTTGAACAAATTTTTTGTGCGGCATTAAAAATACAGCATGTGTTCGTGTTTGCGCAGTGAACGTTATATGCCCAATATGCATATTTGTATACGTAATTTTTTGTAACGTCCCGAATTTTCATTCCTTGTGGTGTCTATTATAATACCAATTGATGATTAAATTAATAAATATTAAAATACCTCTGTCGCCACAAAATAATTGTATTCTGTAGAAGTCCGTACGTATGTACTTTTTATTTATTTAACTTAATTTTTTATAAAATAATTCTATGATAAAAGGATAATCTACGCAATAACAATATTTACGAAAAAATTACATAAAAAACAAAAAAAAAAAAAAAGCGTTAATTAATGCTACATCACAGATAATGTTTTGAAAAACCTTCTTTTTTTATCCCCTTTTTGCTTTAAAAAGATATTGTTTAAGTGGGATGAATATACATATATATCTTACATATATATATATATATATATATCCCATTTCATATGTTCTTCCTTTTTCGTTCGCGAACTATTTGCTCACTTTTTTATAAATGCATAAAAAAGAGAATATGTTTTGTAGCAACGAATTTATTGTAGATTTCTTGTAATCTGCGAAAGTTTCTATTTGATGAATCAAGCGTGTGGGCAGAGTTGTTCATTTTTTTCTCTGCTTATATATACACTTTCGTGCGCCCCCCACCGATTGTATTTATACCATTTTGGTGTACCTACTCTGTACAGAATATGCCCACGGCGTGCCCACGAATTTGACATTCTATCCGTTGCATTTTTGATTTCCCCCAAAGTGCGTATGTTAAGTGCTTTCCAGACTTTGTCTACGTGATTACCCAAGTAGGAGCAAAAATAATTGTGAAACGTTGCCTAGTCCCTGTGACTGCAAAGCGGTTACTCCGTTCGCATTTATTTTTTGCTTTGCAATTTGTGCACCTATTAGTGTACCTATTAGTGTACTTATTTGCGATCTCATTTGTGAAACCATTTGTGAACCCATTTGTGATCCCATTTGTGAACTCATTTTTATTCCTATATTGACTTTACCTGCTTGGCGACCCCTCTAGAAGTAAACGCAGCAAATATACCGTCATCCAAGCAACAGATGAATCTTTACGCATGAAAAGTGTCAAGCGAAATAAACAATGGAGGGCGAAAAAATAAAATCCAACAGCATTTCCAACTTCTCCGTCACGTACGAAAGGGAATCTGGGGCGAACAGCCACAGCGACGATAAAAGTGTTAGCAGCAGCGAAAATGAGTCCAACTCGTTTATGAATTTGACAAGTGACAAAAATGAAAAGACAGAAAATAATAGCTTCATTCTAAACAATAGCAGCTTTGCAAATATGAAAGATAGCTTTTTGGAATCCATCGACTTGAGCATTTTAGACTCGAACTTTGATTCGAAGAAGGATTTTTTGCCAAGTAATTTATCCAAAAATTTAAACAATTTGTCGAAAGAAAACCTTGGCAATAAATATTTAAATAAATTATTAAATAAAAGTGACTCGATGTTTATGCCAAAGAGTAAAGACATGAATTTAATGGAAAACAATCTGGGCAGTAACAATCTACCGGTAAAGAGCAACAACAAGAAGGAGGGCTTCATGGATTCCTCCACTCCGATAAATGCAAATGAAGATAACGCAATGAATAACCTCAAAAAATATAGCAATACTAATAATATTAATGATACATATGAGAAGAAAATAATTGAAACGGAGTTGAGTGATTCAAGTGACTTTGAAAATATGGTGGGGGATCTCAGAATCACGTTTATTAATTGGCTAAAAAAAACACAAATGAATTTCATCAGAGAAAAGGATAAGCTATTTAAAGACAAAAAGGAATTAGAAATGGAAAGAATAAGACTGTACAAAGAAATAGAAAATAGAAAATCAATAGAGGAACAGAAACTACACGATGAAAGAAAAAAACTGGACATTGATATATCAAATGGATATAAACAAATTAAGAAAGAAAAAGAAGAACACAGAAAAAGATTCGATGAGGAAAGATTACGATTTCTACAAGAAATAGATAAAATAAAGTTAGTCCTTTATTTAGAAAAAGAAAAATATTTCCAAGAATATAAAAATTTTGAAAATGATAAGAAAAAAATTGTCGATGCTAATATCGCAACGGAAACTATGATTGATATAAACGTCGGGGGGGCCATATTCGAAACTTCTAGACACACCCTAACACAACAGAAGGACTCCTTTATAGAAAAATTGCTAAGTGGAAGATACCACGTAACGAGGGATAAACAGGGAAGAATATTTTTAGATCGGGATAGTGAGCTGTTCAGAATTATATTAAACTTTTTAAGAAATCCATTGACGGTTCCTATTCCGAAGGATTTAAGTGAAAGTGAGGCCCTGCTAAAAGAGGCAGAATTTTATGGTATTAAATTTTTGCCCTTCCCCTTAGTTTTTTGTATGGGTGGTTTCGATGGAGTAGAGTACTTAAATTCCATGGAGTTGTTAGATATTAGCCAACAGTGTTGGCGTATGTGTACACCCATGTCCACGAAGAAGGCATATTTCGGAAGTGCTGTTTTGAACAATTTCTTATACGTTTTTGGAGGAAATAATTATGATTATAAAGCTCTTTTCGAAACTGAGGTGTATGATCGGTTAAGAGACACTTGGTTTGTTTCTAGCAACTTGAATATACCTCGAAGAAACAATTGTGGAGTCACGTCCAATGGAAGAATCTACTGCATTGGTGGATATGATGGGTCTTGTATAATTCCCAATGTAGAAGCGTATGATCATAGAATGAAGGCTTGGGTAGAAATTGCCCCATTAAATACTCCAAGATCTTCCTCCATGTGTGTAGCCTTTGACAATAAAATTTATGTCATTGGTGGAACCAATGGAGAAAGACTAAATTCGATTGAAGTGTATGATGAGAAGATGAACAAATGGGAGCAATTTCCGTATGCTTTGCTAGAAGCTAGAAGTTCAGGGGCAGCATTTAACTACCTAAATCAGATATATGTTGTTGGGGGTATTGACAACGAACACAACATTTTGGACTCTGTTGAACAATACCAACCTTTTAATAAAAGATGGCAATTTCTAAATGGAGTTCCAGAGAAGAAGATGAATTTTGGTGCAGCCACACTATCTGATTCGTACATCATTACGGGTGGCGAAAATGGCGATGTCTTAAACTCCTGTCACTTTTTCTCTCCAGATACGAATGAGTGGCAGATAGGGCCCTCCCTCCTCGTCCCCAGATTTGGACATTCTGTTTTAGTTGCGAATATATGAATGTCAAGGGGGATATATAAAAAAAAAAAAAAAAAAAAAGGGGGAGGAAGAAAGGCAGGATTTACATAGACATGGGACAGTTATGTACCGGGGGGGAGAGGTGCACCCACACCCCCTTTTTTGCTATATAACTTTCTCGGGTTTGTTTTTTTCCGTCACCATCACAACCATCACAAGGACAAGCACTACGTTATATGTTTTGTCCCAGACGCGAAGTTGTACACGTTGGCATAGAGAACGATTCAAGAAGTGATGAGCGCAGTGATGAAAAAAAGGTGATTTCTCTTTTTTGTGTGCGTGTTCAAGAATACACACTATATGGCAATTGTATGATTATTTACGCACTGACTTTGTGCACATGTTTTAAATGTGCTTTGCCTTCTTTCCCACCGCAGCATTTTCCACCTTGTGTTGTTATTAATTAATTAATTTTTCTTTTCTTTTTTTTTTTTTTAAATGTTGCTTTTCTCGTTCGCCTCCCCTCGCCCTATTCGTCACGTGTCGTGTTTTCTCCCTTCCCATTTTTTTATTCGTACCATCAGTTCCCTGTTTTATGAACCCATTCGTTTTTTAAAATGGCACATGTCGTGTATTAACACACGTCTGTGAGAGAGCAAGTGCGTGCTGACGCAATTGTGTGCGTCATGCATGTGTTATACATATATAGCATATGGACTATATGAAGACAACTTTTTTTTTTTTTTTTTTTTTTTCTATTCTCCCAAGAACACATAATTTTTTTTAGAAAAGTCTTTTACCTAATTTGAACCCACGAAAAGTGAACATTTACGCGTCGTATGTGCGTACACATGTGTACAAATATGTATACACATATATAAATTTTTCCTTTGAGGGGAAAGTCAATTTTACCCCTTTTCACGAAGGAAATAACCAACACCCCGGCGGGAGGAGCACATCTGAGAGGAAAAAAAAAATACGACCCTTCGCAGTTGCCACATTTTAAGGTTTTTGAGAGTGCGAATGCAAGTGCTCACTTTTTTTTGCCTAATACTCAGTTAAAAAGCTTCCGTTTTGAGGCTGTTGCTGGTGGTTCTCCATTTTGTAGGGAATGGTGCGGTGTGTTTGTTTTGACACACAAAGTTGGCTGCTCCGGTCAAGGGCTGCAGCTCACAGTTGCGCCATGTATGATATGTGTGGGGAGGATTCTTTGAACAAACGAGCAGAGTTATCGTAACGATCGTAACGATCAGGATGCACAGGTGATTACTCGGTATCTATATCGATGATCCCCCCCCTTCCCCAAAGGTGCATCTCTGCCTGCGCCTATATTCGCCCGCGCCATGTGAAAAAACAGTGTTGCTTTTCCCCCTCCTCCTGCACACCTTTCCCCCATGTGGGCACTTCGTAATCCCCAATGGATAATATTGTTAAGCTACTTACGGAAAAAAAACAACTATCGTTGTGCGAATATGTGAAGCGCATAGGTCCAGAGAATTTCACACATTGTGACCCAACCCATTTGGAAAATTTTCTAAACAAATTGAGAGAAATACAAAATGCAGAAAATGAAAAAGGAGAGAAAGAGGAGGGGGAAGATTATGTGGTGGAAGCGCCTCCACTCATCAACATCAGTAGCATCCACGAGTGTAATGAAGAGCCACCCAATGGGAGCATATTTATCGACACATATAAAAAAGCAGACTTAATGAACGAATTAAAACATATAGGTCTGGAAATTATTAAACAGAGTGAAGTCGCCGTTGTGATCTTAGCTGGTGGTATGGGGTCCCGACTTGGCTTCAGGAAACCAAAGGGGTTACTAGAAATTACTCCAGTTCTGAAGAAGACATTTTTCCAGTTTTATTTTGAGCAAGTAAAATTTTTAGAAGAGTACACTGCAGCAGTTGACACGATTAAGGGAATCCATGATGATCATGCCAATGGGAAAAGGAACGTGGGCCGTGCTAACCGCTCATGTGCAAGAGGGGAGGAGGACCCGTCCCCCAAAAGTGGCACCTCTAACGAAACGAACATCTACGTGTACGTAATGACATCCCAGTATACACACGACGAAACGGTTCACTTTTTGGAAGAGAACAAATTTTTTGGATTAAAAAAGGAAAATATAAAATTTTTTAAGCAGAGTAATAATTATGCCACCGATTTTAACTACAATATTGTGCTGTCCAATCAAAATACCTTCCTGACATCCCCCGGGGGAAATGGAGACCTCTTTAGTGCCCTCAACAAAAACGAAATAATTGAAGATATGGTCCAAAAACATATAAAATATATACAAGTTGTAAGTATTGATAATGTGTTAAATAAAATATCGGACCCTGTGTTAATTGGTTTTTGTTCCTTTTTCAATTGCGACGTTGCTAATAAGGCGGTTAAAATGGAGGATGTAGGATCCATGGGCATCTTTTGCTTAAAGACAGAAGGAAAAAAACAGCCAAAGGATAAGGACGTCAAAAATGAATTCTCCGTTTGTGAATACACAGAAGTGAACGAATACATATTGAACAACCCAGAGCTCTTTACATATGGTAATATTTGTCACCACATTTTTTCACTACCTTTTTTACAACAGATTGTAAAAGGTAAACTTTACAACAATATGAAGATGCATAGAATAGTGCGGAAGAAGGAGTGCTACAATTTTGGGGCGGATAAAAATGGGGAAGACAAGCCCTTGGTAACTTCCTCCCCCTTGTACTGCTACGAATATTTTATATTTGATGTTTTTAAATATGCCAAAAGGATTTTATCTTTAGAAGTTTCCAGAGAAAATGAATTTTATCCAATAAAAAGTAACGACAATGGAATGGCTATTCTAAATGCACAAAAAAAATTAAGTAAAATGCATAGATCGTGGCTTGAAAATATGAAATTCACCATAGTTCCTAACCCTGTGGAAAATCTCAATTGGTGCGAAATTTCTCCTCTTGTGTCTTACGATGGAACTTTTTTTTTTCACTTGCCTGCACAGAAAAATGTGCATCTGCCCTTTGCTCTCGATTCGGCTTCATCCTCATAACTCCTCATTTGGAAGCAGCCCTTTAAAAAAAAAAAAACACATATATACACATGCACGCGGACTTTACAATGTATACAGGGGTAAGGAAAAACGTATCCTGACCCAGTTGTACCACTTAGCCTAGCACACATAGTTGCTCGCATCTGTAGCCTCCTCAATCGGATATACTCACGTGCTTCTTCAACTCAAGGAATTTTGCGTCCATCCGGTAGGACCAGAGGGTCCCTAATTTTTTTGGGTTTTGCAAAGTGGTTGTCGAACAGGATCTTCTTCTGCTCTTCGTTGATCACTGGGAATTTGTCGCCAACCTGGGGGTGAGACGGTCACGTAGCGGTGGTGAGGTGGTAGTGAAGAGGTAGTTAAGCGGTAACAAATGGTGCACTTGTGTACGTGTCCACCGCCGTTGCCTTCGTCGCTTCTCCCAACTGTACCTTTAAGTTACGTTCCTTGGCATGTCCGGGCTGCAAATAATGTTTGGGTGGGGAGAGTACCGAATGTGGAAAGGTTTAATCATGCAGTGGAACAGCACGTTAAGTATTGTACACACATTCGAAAAAAAATAAAAGCATAATGCATTTTTTTTTTTTTTTTTTAATGCGATGCAGCGCAGAAATGGGGGCTAATTGGGACGAAGTGTGAAATAGGACAAGTGCACTTATAAATCTACACTTTTGCACAAGTGTGCACATTTTCATTTTTCATCCTGCTCACCGCTGCCTGGATCACAAATCTGGGTTCCTTATCCCGCTCGCTCTCCTCCAGCTTCTTATCGTAAGGGGGTCTGTTCTCCTGCAAGGAAGGGGAATCACAAATGGAAGTTGAGAGAAGGAAAGCGTTACATGGTGTGGGGACTGACTACGCAAATGTGTCTTCCTCATAACGCGTAAGTGTGCACGTGTATCTAATCGCTTGTAGGGACCCTCCACTGTTGCGTCTCTCTCCTTCTGTCCAAGCGCGCTTAGCCTACCTCGATATTCATTATAGTTCCATCAGAGTGCACATAAAAAATGTCGCACTTGAATAAGTCATAATTTATTTGCTTATCTGGTGGAGCTCTTTTATTATAATTCTCGATGAACTTCCTGGCGTTAACAAATCTGTTAGGGTCCCTGTAAAGTAAGCTCTTTAACTTTTTCCTTCTGTAGAAATGCATATTAGTTGTGGGATCTCCGTCTCTTATTATTTCATCTAGGGATGGAAAAATATTCGAATCCGATTTTTCATTTTCATACTGAAATCCTTCTTCCCTTAATTTCTTTTTTATGTCTATTTCGACAGGTTCAAAACTGCTTATAATATTTTTAAAAGGAGAAAAATAATACAGATTTGTCATTGGACTGGCTGGTTTTTTTGCATATTTTTCAAATTTTTTATCATTTCTTATGTTTAATTCGTAACACTCGAACTTCCTTTCTGGTCTCTGCGTATTTGACTGGTACAATTTGTTGCTTATCTTTTTCATGCAATTTTTTGGGCATCTCTTTTGCTTTACAAAATGGTATGGTCTTTTCGATTTTTTCACTCCATTGGGGAAGGCAGCTTCGGTTAACTGGGCGGCGCTACAAATGCTTCTGCTGTAGCATCGTAGTGAACTTACGAGAATGGTTATATGTCTACAGGCCAAGAAAAGAATCACATGAAGGAGGATTTTCCCATTCGCCAGCCTGTACATTTATGCGAACAGGGGTAGGAACATCACGCACACACATGACATGTGGTACGAAGTGGTGAGGAACAAAAAAGTGTCACAAAAAAAAAAAAAAAACAGGAAACACATTAAATGGGGGAACTTATTAAGATAGTATTTTTCTTCCTCTCTCGCCAACACAACAAAAAATATGTTCCCCTTTTGGGGAGAAGAGAAATGCAATTCCTTTTTTTTTTTTTTTTTTATAATGAGAAATTTCTAGGGATGTTTGCCTATTTGACCCTTCTTCACAAGCCGCGATGATACACTAATTGACCTGTGGTAGGAAATTTTTCACAATTTGGCATTTTTGTTCATTTATTCCACCCCGCCCTTTTCGTAATCTTCTTTCAGTTGTGTATTCTTTTCAGCACATTTGCTCAGATGCAAGAGGGATCTGAAAACCTGTGCGTGCTTCGCGCGCCCTATTTCCCGAAGTGCTTAAGTCTTTATATTTTATACACTTACAAACGGGGCAGCTCCCCAAATGGCTGTTGCACAAATGACAATTTTATCACGTGGGCAAGCTGGGCCGCCCCACCAATCAGGATGACACAAAAAGTTTTCTAAATTTAAAAATTAAGGATTCAAAAATTAAAAGGTAAAATTAAAAAAATAAATACACACCCGTCTCGCGGTTTTACTCCAACTGAAAAAAAAATATATATATTTCACAATTTGGGGCGGATGTGGTCATTTAAAAACGCAAAAAAAAGGCGGGCTTTTAGAACACACACTGGACGGAATTAAATCACGCGGCTGTATTTTGTACTGATAGGCAAAAGGGGGTTGCAATCATACCACCCCACAGGGTACAGGGTACAGCGTACGCGTAAGGGGAGTGGCGATGATAACGTTTTCTCCTTTTTTTTTTCTTCCTTTTTTACGATATCCGGTGGCTCGTTATGTATAGCCACACGCACACCATGGTGCAAGGGCGAGTGGAACTCGGTAGGTACAATGGTCCAAACATTGGCATGCACCTTTGCTCACTTGCCCCCTCATTACTCCACCCCTTCCCTTTCACGAGGCGACCTACTCTTCCGCATTCCAATCTTTGAACATGAGGATGAAATCGTCCATGCCCAATTTTTGCGGAGCGAATTTCATCTCTGAGTTAATTTTGTTTCCCTCTTGAGTTAAAATTTGGTTAGCCGTGTACTGCTTGCTCTGATGTATTTGTAGAATTCTTTCCTCCACTGTTTTTTCCAAAACGAACTTGTAAATGCTAACGTCCTTTAGCTGTCCAATTCTGTGTACGCGCTCGAAGGCCTGATCTTCAACAGCAGGGTTCCACCACAAGTCCATCAAGTACACCTTGGACGAAACGGTAAGGTTGAGACCGACTCCACCTGCTTTCAGCGAACATAGGAGAACTTTCCCGGAAAATTTTTCTACAACAGTTGGAGAAGAAGGTTCAGTAAATCCAATTCCTGGCTGATACACTTTCCCCTTTTGTACATTAAACCAATGGAGAGTAGTTTTTCTCTCTTCATATGTTAAAGACCCGTCATATATTTTGTTTGGAATATCATGTAGGGTTAATAATTTTTGAATAATTTTAAGAAATCCAATCCATTGTGAAAATACAACAATGTGCAATTCGTTTTGCATGTCATTTTGTATATGATCAAATAATTGCTTCAATTTTGTGGAGTAAACGAAGTTTTCCTTTTTCATTTTTTTTAGCAGGTCGTCCAGAGGAGACTTATTCTCCTGTAGCGTTTTCAACGATTTTAAGCTTATGTACTGATTGCACTGTGGGCATTTCTTTTCTGCTATTTGGGTTAAGTGAAAATAATTGTCTGCACATTTTTTGCACATGATATGCATGCATTTGCTAATTAGTGGATACACAGCGTCTTCCAAGCAGATTACGCATTGAATTGGGTTTCCTCCTTTTAGCAGCTCTATCATTTGGATGTACTCATCGTCCAGTTCATTTGAATGCGTCGCGCCTAGCATGAAGTTGTATATGAGGTCGTTTCCCTGCTTCGTTGTCCCTTCTGTTATGTCCTTACGGTAGGAACTGCTAAATGGAGTGCCTTCGCCAGCGCTGCCATTTGCGGGGAGAACATCATTTCCTCGTCCTTCCTTTCCCCCTGTCCACTCATCGTCGTCCTTCTTCTGCAGCGCGTTGTTTATGTCCTCGCGATTCCATTCCTCGAAAAAAGGCTTAGAGAACAAAAGAAGCGGGTGCGAGCAGCACTGTCTTAGCCTCAGCAGCAACTGCAGCACGTGGGAATAATGACTTAACACATTCCCATCATGCATGTAGGTGTCAAATTTGGTTTTGCTTCGGTAAAATATGGCCCGGTAAAAATCTTCTTCCTCCATTGAAAATTTCAGCTTCAAGAGGTGCACATTTTTTTTCGGAAGAGATATAATATAGTCCCCATTTTTTGTCCTTGACTTTTTTGTTCTCCTCAACAAAATGGGGGATGATATTTTCCTTACTACATCCAAGGCTAAGTTCAATTTGTTCTTGTTCACGTAGTCTATAATTTCTTTGTTCCACCATTCAATGGTTCCATATGGTTTTATTCCTAAAAATCGGAACAGCGGGAATATGTCAAATATGGAGTTCTGTATAGGCGTTCCCGTCAAGCACCAGTTTCTTTCTCCTCGTAATTTCCACACTGCAATGGACTGAATGGAATTTTTATTTTTTATCACATGTGCTTCATCAATTATAATTCTTCTCCATGTTATTCTATACAAGGGACACTCTTTCTTCAGGCTTCCCCCTTTTGTGTTCTTCCTATCGTCACTTGATTTCAGCATGCTATTATTCGTCGTCGCCATCTTGGTTCCCAGAATAGTCTTCTTGAAAAAGTTGTTTATTTTGGGGATCTCATTATATGATCCACTTTGTAGACTCGCTTTCGAACTGATGCCTTTTTCTTCCTTTGTACTCCCCTTGGTCCATCCCACGTCCCCATGCTCACGCTTACTCTTCCCAATATCATCATTCTCCCCCACATGTGTATTATCTTCACCATCCTGCCGTTTCTTACTTAGCGTATTTTTATACTCAGAGACTAGGGTTGAATAGGTGGTCAGCACGACCGTGTACTTACACAACTCTTCGCTGGTTATATCTTTGGAGGTTCCGTAATAAATGTAGGACGTGAGGAAACCCTCCTTGGTGTGTTTCTCGATTTCTTGTTTCCACTGATAGATCAGTGCTAATGGGGCAATAATTAATGTCCCCCCTTTTTTAATATTACATCCCTTGATGGTATTTTCTATCAAACAAATAATATTGTTCTTATTTTCCTTCTTACCATTTCGTAAATGCAATTTGTTCTGGTAAACATCGTGAGCTATTAATCCAATGCTTTGTATAGTTTTTCCCAACCCCATTTCATCTGATAAAATGCCACCCCTGAATTGGGGCACATACTGCGGGTACGTTAGCGAAAAGCACCCCGTTAATTTGTTTACATAGAAATATTTTAGCACGCACACCAAGTTGTCTTTCTCGTAAATTTTTATGTTGGGGATGAATGAGTGTTCTTCCCACAGGGGGTTAAGCGGCTGCTTGTTCCGAATGTCGTCCTCGTCATCATCGTCATCATCATCATCAGCGGCGGCGGCGTTTTGTTCGCCGCTGTTGTCTGCCCTTTGGTCGCGCGACTTGACCTTCTCCCTCTTGATGGCCAAGTCGCTCAGTTTCACATGGCGTTGGGACGGTGTGTCCATCGGTTCGCTCTTACACTGAGACAGAGCGCCCTGCGTGAGAGCCAACTCCGGGGACAACTTCTCATGTATTATAGAAAGCACCTGCGTGGGGTTCTTTGCCACGCCTTGAAAATGAGGATTATCCTTGACAACTTCATCAATAACGATTTCTTTTATGTCCTCGTTTTTTCTGATTTTTTCTTTGAAATATTCTGGAGGGTTTTCCTTGGTGTACATCCACCACACTCCTTCCGCCTGGTACGTTTTCAACGTAGGTTTGAAGTAAAACTCGTCCGGGTGAATTTCCTCGAACTCGTCTAGCAAGTACCCTCCTCGATATTTCTCCTCCATAAAAACCATGTTCGTTGCATCTTCGTTGTTTTCCTCCATCTCGTTTTCGCTGAGGGAGTCCACAATTTCGTCTTCCTCCTTGGTTACGCTTAGAGAGGCCGGGTCTAACGAGGGGTCGGGGAGTTGATAAAGCGAGGTAAAGCTTGCCAATGCGGTTGCGGTGAAGGCGGTGCCAGTCAAACGATTTGCGACGAGTATCACTCTACATAGAAGCAGTGCCCCCCCAGTCTGAGAGGTTTTAATTGTATACCCCTCAGAGGAGCCAATAACAAAAAAAGGTTTCTTTTTTTTTTTTTGCATGTTCACATTTTTCCCGTTATCTTACCTAGGACAGAACGCCTGGAGCCGCCCAGCGCCTTGTAGGGGGTGCTGAAACCAGAGGAGTTGTCCCCCACCTTGTCCTTCTTGCCATACACGGATGTGTCGCTCTTAAGAACACTATTAGACGACAACAAGGTTTCCTTATTTATCCTGATATGAGAACTTTCAAAAGAATCCATATCGACATTTTTTGCTAATCGTAGTGGTGTGATTCTAAGCTCCTTAAATAAATTATCCACACTGCATTTAATTAAAGAATTATACTCATGAAATTTATGAGAGTCAATTTTAAAAGAATCAGGGTATAAAATGACATGAATAAAAGTTCTTAAGCTCCCCCCAAATTTTAAGTCAGATAAGGAAATTTTTTCTAACATAATTTCAATTCTTATTGCATTCAAAACGAGGAGTACACATAATGTCTTGGACAAATTGCTTTTAATTTTGGAGATGTCTCGATTATTATGATGCTTGATTCTTATACATGGGTACCCCTCCTTAATATCTTTTAAAATTTCACTTTTGCATTTATCAAATTCTATGAACTTTTTATTTGCGGATAGAATTTTACTGGAGTCCATATGAACTTCTGAATATTGTTCATTGCATAATGGAGAATTGTTCCCTTTCTTTGTTAATACTTTTTTCTTTTTTACTTTTTTATTATTTGTGGGAATATTTCTACCTATCACTTTAATATAATCATTAGACATGACGTAATTTTTATTTACCTTTAGCATATACATGGGAGAATATGACCGCTTTGTTGATTTCGGTGTTATTTCATAGCTGATCTCAATATCTTTGTCACTCTTTACGTCGCATATTTCGCTCGACAGAATTATGGAGTCCGTTTCTATACACCCTAAATAATACTCAAAGAAAACTCCTTTTTCCCTTATCAACTGGGCTCTCCTGTTCGACGCCTCGAATTCTTTCATCTTCGCCGATTTTATTTGCTCATAGTTGTAAAAGTTTATGTCCTCTATAATTTCAACTGCGTGGGGGAAAGGAGCGATTGCTTTGAATAATCACGTTGAGCCTCTTTATATATGTATGTGCGTGTGTGCAGGACATAACACAGCAGAACCAACATGAATCGGACATTGGTAATAAGCAAAACACATCAATTTTGCGAACGGGAAAAAGGAAATATAATATAGGTCTCCCTTTCACCCCACTTGAATAACTTACTGTCACTGCATCCCTCCATTGGCATGTTGTAGTTGCTCTTTCCTGGAGGCACGCCCCCAAGGTTATCAAACCTTGACACTTTGTTGCACCGAGGCTCGTTTTCATTTAAAGTTATAATTTCTATGACGTCGTTATCATAGTTCTCCTCCCCCAACTTGCCAACTGCTTCTTCACAATTATTCTTTTCATTTTTAAAATAATTTGAACTTGTCATTTAAGATAAAAATAATCATTTATGCTTTTGCAGATGAGAAGGAGAAAAAAAAAAAAAAAAAAAAAAAAAAAATAAAAAACGATAATATAAAAAAAAAAAAAAAAAGTGCGAAAATGGGTAGCCAGAAGGGGTGAAAAAATTGGGTAAAGAGAAGACAAGGTGAAGACAGAAATCATCAACTCAAATGTTTACAAAATTAAGAACTGAAACAAATGCGCAGGCGAGCGCACTGATGAACGGAGGGGCATACGAAGGGGGACAGCAGTGGACTACGTATATAATTGAACATAGGTAAATGCATGTGCCATCGCATGAATGACCCTTGGGTATTGTGATGGATGACGAGAGATAGAAAAAGGCTTACAGTTCTACCTTATGCACATTCGTGTGCGTGCTTTTACTTGCCATTGATTATCTTATACTGCTAAATAGCGCATTCCCCGTGGCTATTTAACGCCATTAAAAATAGCGAGTTTCGCAAAATGCACAACATAAATTAAAGTTGTTAAAAAATGTTGCATTTGCTTTGGGGGAATTTCGAATTTATGTGAATTATTTTATACTTATGATTGGTGTAAATATAACAATGCTGATGTTGATAATAATGCTAATGATAACGATAATGTTCCCCGTTTTTTTTTTTTTTTTTTTTTTTTTTTTTCTCATTGAATGTATATTTTTTTTTGTGTAAATTTGGCTATTTACCAATTTCGAGCGGTTACAAAAAAAAAAAAAAAAAAAAAAAATATTGGAGAACAAACGGGATGGGGCGAAATGAAAGGAGAAAATTAAAAAGGGAAATAATGGGAAAACAAAATAATAGAACGGGAAAATGATAAGTACGAGAGGAATAGAGAAATCAAAACCTAATTCAGACTGACCTTATGTGTTTTTTATACTTATAAGGAAAACACTATAAACCGTGTGGTGTGAAATTTCTCATCTTTAAATGGGCCATGGTGGTGATGTTACGAAGCATGCAATAAAGAACACTTCCTTTCAGTTGTTCATACAAATTATGGCTTTTCATTTTTGCAATTCTGTTCACGCTTCCCTTTTTTGTATTACATGTGTATGCAAAAAAAAAAAAAAAAAAAATGTAGTAAAACTGTAGTGTGTGCGGGCGCGGCTAAGTCCGACGTGGAAATAACGCGTCCAATTTGTCACTTCCCAACGGTGTAAAATCTGTCATTCGCAAAATTGCCAATTGTGTAAATTCGCCACCTGTCATATCTGACATTTGCGAAAATAAATGGACGCATGCGGCAAAGTCGCCGGCAAGGGGATATCAAGAACACGGCGAGTAGGAACGATTTATTTTTGCCAAGGGCGATGATTTCAAAGCGTTTCCCAGGGGCCCAATTATCATCCGCATCCCTTCCTCGCGTAACCTCTCCACGGTAACTTTGCGTACCTCCTGAGCGCTTGGGAAAATTGCCCCACACATGTGACCCTGGCATTTATGTAAAATTGCGCGCGCGTGGGAAAAAAATAAAATAAAATAAAACGTGTAAAAATGCGCACACATTTTTTAAGCACGCTGCGCGGGAACGTCCATTTCCCTTCAATAAAAAGGACTTCGCTTCCACCTCTTTCTCTCTCTTCCATTTAACACTATTTAAGCAAAGCACGAACGCGCAAAAGCACAAATGTGCAAACGGGGAAAAAGAAAATTAACCCCCGCTCCCTCATCCTTTAAAAGATAACTAACGGCCATTCGGTATGCTATTCCCACGGGCTGAACGCATAAGCACAATTTAAAAATGAGTACTGCTAAGCATACCTTCCTTTTTTGTACATATTACTAATATAAGGTCTCTCTTCTACTGCACATAAGGCTCAAAGGCGCACGCATGCTCATTCTCGCATATGTGTATGCGTTTATTGCATGTTAAATTGCGCACATGTGAGGTGTACCTTTTTTTTTTTTTTTTCTTAGCGTGTAAACGCAAAATAATACATTCACTGAAAAAAAAAAAAAAAATAATATCCAATGTGCGCGTAACACTTATCATAAATATGTATGTATACATATTTT